AACCCAGCACCACAGCCTCTGTGCACAGAGGAAACGAGGAGAAATGTCGTGGGCTCAGACTAAGATCTGCACCTGGGAACAGACATCTGAGGTGCAGGGGCGGGCACGGCAGCCTCCAGCCCTCATGGGCCTGGAATCAGCTTGCAGCTCCTTGGCAAATCCGTTTTGTATATTTACTCTGTTCTCCCCACCGCTTTCCTGTTCTGAGTTATTTCAGCCATTCTGAGAAAACAATTGATGTTTTCTCCTGCTCTGTTGGTTATTTCTCTTTGGGCAGTAGCTCAGGGCCCCCGAAGACTTTGGCAGACGCAGCAGAGGCGGGTGCACAATGCTTCACACCTGAGGCTGTCCACCCCTCCTCACTGCGCTCAGCTTCCTGGAGCAGACCAAGGGAAAGTTCGCTCCTGAACCGATGTGTTAACCTTCTCTGACTCACCCCCTTTCCAGGCAACAGGGAGTCTCCCCTCTGCCACGCCTTCCAGGCCCAGCTGGGGCCTGGACACACCAGTTGGGCCCATGGCCCACCCCCTACAGGGCTGCAACTCTGAAACCAGCGCCCTGAAGGGCAGAGGCCCAGGCGGAGAAGATGCCCCTGAGGGTGAGGGCAGTTGCCCACATACGGGGAGTGGGTGGGGTTGGGGGAAGGGCCAAGGGGCTTAACTGAGCCCTGCCAGAGCTGGGCCCTCTCTGGCCAATGCTCGTTTCTGCCGGGTCCTGGGGAAGCAGGCCCAGGCCTGAGGCTCTGCCCTTTCTCCGGGACATGAAGGGTACACATGGTGCTCTTGGCCATCAGGGCTACACTCCCCAGGAGGAAATACCTGCAATGCTGGCGCCTTGAGGCACTGCGTCACAGGCTCCAAGGTTCCCAGCAGGCCAGGCACCTGGCCGCAACCTGGCAGTGCTTGGTAGATGCTCAGGGAGCACAGCAGCTGGGGCTGATGCTGGTGAGTGGGGTGCCCCTCTCCAGCCTCACGCTGATCTCCCATCTCATCCCAAACTGCTAGCAATGGAGTCTCAAAGTATGGGCTTTGTACCTAGCAAGTCCGAAGCCTTGGGGGTGAGGCCCAGGAATCTGCATTGTCAACACCATGCCACCCTCCTTTGTCATGCCCCTTCACCTTGGTGCCACAGCACTGCAGGGGGAAGAGGCAGCAGAGGGAAGTTTAGGTGCTGGAGGTGGCAGTGGGTCCAGCCTGGGGCTTTCCTGCCAAACTGTCCCCACAGTTCAGGCAGTGGCACCTGAATGGACCCGGTGAACGTGGTGGCAGCAGGTAGCTCCGCGATCACAGCAACAAGACGACAGCACGGTCCTTTCCCAGGTACTGGTGGGGGGACTCCCCCTACCAGAAGGTCCTTCGCAAACCAGTGCCACACCTGGACATTTCTGAGCTGAGGGCCCTCCCTACTCACCACCCCCAGGACCCCTTCATTTTTAGGGGAGAGGTCAGTTTGGCTAGAGAAAAACACAGCTTGGATTTGGGAGTCCTAGATTTTGCCAGTGGTCATGTGCTCAGCCTAGTCCTATCCTGTCAGTTTAGGAACAAGGCATGGCCTGTGCGGCAGCTCCCCGTTCACGCGGGCGTGTGGGGTACGGGTCCCTGGGCGTCCCCTCCCTTATTTGCTCCATTGCTTCCCATATTATAGGTCTGATCTATTCTGAGCCTGTGCATTTGGCCTGGGGCAGGGCTGGCTGGCTGGCTGCCTGGGGCGGAGGGGCCTCCTTTCCCTTCGGGGACAGGCACTGAGCACAGGTGTTGGCCTAGTTCACGTCCCACAGACACAGGAAGGAGCCAAACAGCCTTTCCGTCTCCCTGATTCTGGGCCTTTGAGAAGTGACACTAGCACCTGGCAGCCAGTGGCCTAAGGAGGAGCCACCAGTAGTCCAAGAATCCCAAGCAAGGTGGGCATCAAGAGCCCTGAGAGCAGGCTGGGAGTGCCCGGAGCCCATGTGTGGCAGCCACGGGGCAGAGTGGGGGCCCAGCTGCAGCTGTGACTAGTTCCCATAGAAAGAAAGAATTGAGCCCAGCCTTCCCATGCCCCATCCATCAGGGGAATGCAGGCCCTAGGCCACAGGGTGCTCAGCCCACAGCCTGGTGACAGAGGGCACAGCTCTCTCAGCTCTGAAGGACAAAGAACGCCCTCCTAGCTGCTTGTCCCACTCAGTCTCTTCTAAAGGCGGCCCCTGTGCCCAGCCAGGTGGCACAGGAAGCTAAGGAAGAATACTTATGACCGGGCCCTCCCCCTGCTATCTGGCTGCTTTCTGGATACCCAACCCCCACCCTCCTCCTGGTGCCAGCAGGGATGGGGGCAGGGAACAGCCTATGTGCATTTGCCAGTCACCACCCTGGGCTGTGGGGTTTGGGGGCTGAATCCTGGGGAGCAGTGCTAGGCAGATAGCTTCTTGGACAGGGCAAGGGAGCAGCTGGCAGGAGGAGGGCCCACCTAATAAGCCAGGAAGAAATAAGCCCTGCTTTGGAGAGCCTCATCTTTGTCCTTGACAATAATGCACAGAGTAGCCCTCCATGGCCAAGGGCAAAAAGGGAAGGCCACAGGCTCCACCAAGTACCAGTGCAGATGCCCTTTAACCTTTAAGAGGCACTTTCTTGAGCCACCAGAATGTAGAGACAGCTGTTTCCAAAACCAGCATCACAGAAAGGTGAAAACCCAGCTGAACTCTCAGGTAGAAGGTGGCAAGAAATGCGTGCATTACTAGGTTTCAGCCCAAGGACTGTCCAGGGGCCTGTGCTGGGTCCAGCCAAGCAGGCAGGACAGGCAGTAGTCTGACTCCAAGATCACAAGCAGGAAGGGCCAGCTGCCGACGTCATAGGGGTCGAGGGGGTGCACCTTCACTTTGCTGTGTCTCTTCTGCAAACACCGTGAGTTCACTTTGCTCGGCCTACACAGGCCCCAAGTGCAAGGTCACAGGCAGTCTCAGACTGGCTCTTAGGGGCTGCAACAGCCAGTTTCCTCCCCTTCTCAGGAGGGATGGTGTTCTGCTCCCAGGGTCCTCTGCAGGAGGGAGGTGCTCACAGAATAACAAAGACTTCAGGCTGAGTGGGGAACCCTACGCTCCTGCCTGGGGCCAATTCAAGTCCAGCCAGAGTCCGGAAGCCTCACACCCATCTAGCTGCCATCATCATGTCGAGGAGTAGAGGCCAGGGCTGGGGAGAAACGAAGGAGAACAGGGATCCCCAGGAGAACCAGGACTGGGGAGGCGGAAGGTGGGGCATCAGGGTTTCGGGGTGTAGGGTCACGGAGCTCCCGTCTCCTTCTCTGGGGTGGGCCTGTTGAGAAGCTCAAATGTATCTTCTACCACTTGCCACAGGCAGCTGTCCAGCGGAAACTCGTTGTCCACCAGGTTGACCAGGAAGTAGTTGTCATGAATGTACTGGATGATCATGCGGGACGGGGCCTCCTCCTCGTACAGCTTGCCCCACCGCTCAATCCACAGGGCAAAGGCTTCGTCCTGCACACACACACGCCCACAGATGCACACACCCAGACACACAGGCAGACACAGGGACAAGGTTAGGAGGGCTGCCCTGGGGTCAGGGCTCTAGCTCAGTCCCCTCAGGGTCTGTGGCGCTGTCCAAGGGGACATTTCCAGGAATAGAAAAGGCCCACTGCCAGTATAACAACGAAGCAAAACTGAAGGAACAAAATAGCAGCAGACTCACAGACTCCAAGAAGGGACTAGCGGTTACCAAAGGGGAGGGGTGGGGGAGTGTGGGTGGGGAGGGAGGGAGAAGGGGATTGAAGGGTATTATGATCAGCACACATGGTGTGTGCGTGGTCACAGGGAAGGCAGTATAGCACAGAGAAGACAAGTAGTAACTGTGGCATCTTACTGCACTGATGGACAGTGACTGCAATGGGGTGTCGGGGGGACCTGATGCTATGGGTGAATATAGTAACCACAATGTTTTTCATGTGAAACCTTCATAAGACTATATATCAATGATATCTTAATAATAATAATAAAAAAAATGCCCACTGCCAGTGCCACCTCCCACCCCCAGCCCAGAAACAGCATGGGAGTCGGCGTGCAGCCTGGGGGGCGGGGTCTGCCAGCCCTGGGGCTGTGGCCTCCAGCCACATCCTCGGGACCCAAGGACACTGCCCGCCCAGGGTTTCCCAGGTGGGCAGGGCAGCCCCGCTCGTGGGCCCCTCACCTTCCAGAACATGAAGCTGACGGGATCCACCACCGTGGGCTGGATGATCTCTCGCCCAGGGAAGATGCCCCAAGTGACGGCGTTGGGCTGCAGCTTGGGGGCATTGGTGATGTTTTCACCCTGAGTGGGAGTGGGGGGCAAAAGCAGATTGGGGCAGAGACCTCTGCAGTGCCCTTATCGCCTGGGGAACTCAACTCGCTGGGAGCGCTCTGCCGCACACTCTGCCCCTGCCACCTCTAGCCCACAGCTCCAAGAGCATGTGAACAGCTGCGGAAACCTAGAGGTCACCCAGGGTATTCCTCCTGCCAGTCTGCTCCACCAGCTCCACAGCCCGCGCTCCCGACTGCCCACTCTGCCGTCAGTCCCCTGGTGTGTAGCCCAGCTGGGCCTCTCTGCTACCCGGGCTCTGACTCTAGTCTTCCCTGGCCCTGTCATCCCACAGCTGCCCACTGTGACCGCCTAAAGTGTAACATGGAGCCGGTCACTCACTGCTGGGAAACGCTTCCTCTTGCCTTTAGGGGAAAACCTAAATTCCAAGCAGGAGAATCGAGACCCTGAGGACCTGACCCACCTTACCCGTCAGCCTCACTCTGAACCCATTCAGCAGCGTCCCCATAGGCGGTGTGGTCAGTCCTTTGCATGCCCTCTGCCCTTTCCCTGGAACGCCCTTCTCCTCGTCCTTAAAGATTCAAGCCATACAGACTCCTCCGAGAAGCCTTCCCTGACACTCCCTGGCCAGGTTAGGTGTCACTCCCCTGGGTCTCCAGCATCCGACACCGAAATGTGTTGTTATAAAGTGTAACTGGAATTACAATTATCCAGAAAACCCAGCTGAACTCTCAGGTAGAAGGTGGCAAGAAATGCGTGCATTACTAGGTTTCAGCCCAAGGACTGTCCAGGGGCCTGTGCTGGGTCCAGCCAAGCAGGCAGGACAGGCAGTAGTCTGACTCCAAGATCACAAGCAGGAAGGGCCAGCTGCCGACGTCATAGGGGTCGAGGGGGTGCACCTTCACTTTGCTGTGTCTCTTCTGCAAACACCGTGAGTTCACTTTGCTCGGCCTACACAGGCCCCAAGTGCAAGGTCACAGGCAGTCTCAGACTGGCTCTTAGGGGCTGCAACAGCCAGTTTCCTCCCCTTCTCAGGAGGGATGGTGTTCTGCTCCCAGGGTCCTCTGCAGGAGGGAGGTGCTCACAGAATAACAAAGACTTCAGGCTGAGTGGGGAACCCTACGCTCCTGCCTGGGGCCAATTCAAGTCCAGCCAGAGTCCGGAAGCCTCACACCCATCTAGCTGCCATCATCATGTCGAGGAGTAGAGGCCAGGGCTGGGGAGAAACGAAGGAGAACAGGGATCCCCAGGAGAACCAGGACTGGGGAGGCGGAAGGTGGGGCATCAGGGTTTCGGGGTGTAGGGTCACGGAGCTCCCGTCTCCTTCTCTGGGGTGGGCCTGTTGAGAAGCTCAAATGTATCTTCTACCACTTGCCACAGGCAGCTGTCCAGCGGAAACTCGTTGTCCACCAGGTTGACCAGGAAGTAGTTGTCATGAATGTACTGGATGATCATGCGGGACGGGGCCTCCTCCTCGTACAGCTTGCCCCACCGCTCAATCCACAGGGCAAAGGCTTCGTCCTGCACACACACACGCCCACAGATGCACACACCCAGACACACAGGCAGACACAGGGACAAGGTTAGGAGGGCTGCCCTGGGGTCAGGGCTCTAGCTCAGTCCCCTCAGGGTCTGTGGCGCTGTCCAAGGGGACATTTCCAGGAATAGAAAAGGCCCACTGCCAGTATAACAACGAAGCAAAACTGAAGGAACAAAATAGCAGCAGACTCACAGACTCCAAGAAGGGACTAGCGGTTACCAAAGGGGAGGGGTGGGGGAGTGTGGGTGGGGAGGGAGGGAGAAGGGGATTGAAGGGTATTATGATCAGCACACATGGTGTGTGCGTGGTCACAGGGAAGGCAGTATAGCACAGAGAAGACAAGTAGTAACTGTGGCATCTTACTGCACTGATGGACAGTGACTGCAATGGGGTGTCGGGGGGACCTGATGCTATGGGTGAATATAGTAACCACAATGTTTTTCATGTGAAACCTTCATAAGACTATATATCAATGATATCTTAATAATAATAATAAAAAAAATGCCCACTGCCAGTGCCACCTCCCACCCCCAGCCCAGAAACAGCATGGGAGTCGGCGTGCAGCCTGGGGGGCGGGGTCTGCCAGCCCTGGGGCTGTGGCCTCCAGCCACATCCTCGGGACCCAAGGACACTGCCCGCCCAGGGTTTCCCAGGTGGGCAGGGCAGCCCCGCTCGTGGGCCCCTCACCTTCCAGAACATGAAGCTGACGGGATCCACCACCGTGGGCTGGATGATCTCTCGCCCAGGGAAGATGCCCCAAGTGACGGCGTTGGGCTGCAGCTTGGGGGCATTGGTGATGTTTTCACCCTGAGTGGGAGTGGGGGGCAAAAGCAGATTGGGGCAGAGACCTCTGCAGTGCCCTTATCGCCTGGGGAACTCAACTCGCTGGGAGCGCTCTGCCGCACACTCTGCCCCTGCCACCTCTAGCCCACAGCTCCAAGAGCATGTGAACAGCTGCGGAAACCTAGAGGTCACCCAGGGTATTCCTCCTGCCAGTCTGCTCCACCAGCTCCACAGCCCGCGCTCCCGACTGCCCACTCTGCCGTCAGTCCCCTGGTGTGTAGCCCAGCTGGGCCTCTCTGCTACCCGGGCTCTGACTCTAGTCTTCCCTGGCCCTGTCATCCCACAGCTGCCCACTGTGACCGCCTAAAGTGTAACATGGAGCCGGTCACTCACTGCTGGGAAACGCTTCCTCTTGCCTTTAGGGGAAAACCTAAATTCCAAGCAGGAGAATCGAGACCCTGAGGACCTGACCCACCTTACCCGTCAGCCTCACTCTGAACCCATTCAGCAGCGTCCCCATAGGCGGTGTGGTCAGTCCTTTGCATGCCCTCTGCCCTTTCCCTGGAACGCCCTTCTCCTCGTCCTTAAAGATTCAAGCCATACAGACTCCTCCGAGAAGCCTTCCCTGACACTCCCTGGCCAGGTTAGGTGTCACTCCCCTGGGTCTCCAGCATCCGACACCGAAATGTGTTGTTATAAAGTGTAACTGGAATTACAATTATCCACTGATCGGGCTCCCTCACCAGGCAGGCAGCTCTCTGATGGCAGAGGCCTGGATCTGTCTGCATATCTGTCTTGTACATTGTCTGGCCAGGGCTAAATGCTTGGTGACTGCTGCATGGAAGAATAAACGTGGGTGCCCCTGGCCCTGGCACTGGGGCCCTGCAGAGAACTGGCGGAACCCTGGCAGCTGGCCTACCTTCACATCCACAATGTGGTAATTAACCCGGAGCTCGTACTTCTTCAGCACTTGCAGAAGTGCCTCCATAGTCTCAGGAGACGTGAAGAACTCTAGGTAGGCCTGTGGGAGGGAGAGAGGAGCCCCTCCCATCAGCCCCAAGTCCTGGCCAGATGCCTCCCCTGTGTGTTGCCCAGTGCCTGTGTGCTCTGAAAACCAGACGCCAGCCCCCGACTGTCCCAGGGAGGGCCCCACAAAGATACATGTGGCAGGACATGTAAGGCTCTAGGACGAGTAGTGGCCACGTGGATCGAATCGCGAACTGTGGAGCTGGCAAATAAATGAGCAAATGGGAGGGGACCTGGTACATGAAATTTCTCAGTCTGAACAGGTATGAGGGACATCTGCCACCATTCCTCCAACTAGGGAAGGCTCCCTGGAGAAGCCATTTTAGAAGCTGTCTAGGAGGCCCAGCTTGACAAGCTAAGATGTATGAGAGGCCAGACACATGCTCCCCACTCACTGGGTGGGAAAAGATGTGAGGGCTTCCCAAGCACCAACCGTCTTAACAGGAATCAAGCTGGGTTTACTGACATTTATTTGCCCTAATGCTCATAATACTGCAGGGTGAGCACTGTTATCCCCACTTTACAGATGAGGAAACTAAATCAGGGAAGCTGAGCAATCTGGCTGCACTGATGGCAAACAGCAGAGCTGGTCCTCAAATCCAGGTTTTTCTAACTCCAGACTAACTGTAATTTTAATTCCAGCAGCCCTGGAAAAAAGGTGTCAACTCAGGAGGGTAATAACAGCTCCCAGTTAGGGAACACGTTCCCATGTTCTTCCCACCTGCTAAGTATTTTACGTTTTGCCACATTGCATCCCCAAAACATGATGTGATACATCCCCATTTTATAGGAGAGAAAGCTGAGGCTCAGGGGGTCAAGTAACCGCCGACTCAGATCTGTTGACTTAAAGTGCAAGCTCCTGTCCATTCTGATCGCTGCCATGCGGAATACAGTGGCCAGAGAGAAAGGCCTCTCTGCTCCATCTCTGGGGAGTCCCTGGGTGCCAGCCAAGGTGGTGCAGCCCCATATGTCCCTGCCACACCTTCTGGAAGACATAGCCCCCACTGGGACCCCAGCCCACGATGGGGTCAGAGGATGGCTTCCCGTTGACGTTGGGCTGGGAGTTGATGGTGAGGATGCCCTGCCGGTTCACTCGGAGCAGCTCCTCCTTCATCAGGCTGGTCTCGGCGGCCAAGGGATCATCATTCCAGGGCAGGCACGTCACCTGGGAGAGGGGCAGTGGGTTGGGGGCAATGACAGGATCAGGCACCCTGGCACAGGGGGCCGGGGTCAGGGGAGGGCGGCAGGAAGCCCAGCCCAGTGTCACTCACTCTGCAGCCGTTCTGGTTCGGCTCTCCTGAGAGGTAGTGGGCAAAGACCTCAAAGACGCTTTCTTCGCTGGTCAGCTCCTCCCCCCACATCTTCAGCAGCTCTTCCCTCGGGGACTTGCTCTTCAGGTAGAAGAGATAGTAGTCCTTCAGCTCCCCGAAGGCTGGTGAGGAGGAATTGCCCCTGTAGGAGGAGATGCCCAGAGGTCAAGGCACACTCCTGGCCTTGGGCTCCCGACAGAGGGACAGGTACACCCACCTGCCCAGGGGGTTTCCTGTAAATCCTGCCCCTTGCTGCTCCTATAGGCTCAACCATAAGCATGCAAACTCCTTCCGCCTCCCTTCTCCCAAGAAATAGGCTGCATCCACAAGACTGTCACCAGCGGCCATTGGGGAACTCGTCCCACTCCTGCGTGCGGTAGATGTAGCTCTTCGGTCTGGAGGCCCAGAAGATGGGACGTACGTCTTCCTCCCGGCGCTTGGGGTGGGCACTGAGAGCCCAGGGCAGAGGACGCCTGGGCAAGAGTGGGGAAAGGGTGAGGGACTGGCTAGAGGGAGCAGGGAGGAGGGGGGCACCACTAAGCCTGCTTCTTCAATCTGACTTGAAAACGTCAAGCTGCCCAAGGCATTCAGAGACTGGAACCTCCAGGGTGCCGTAGGCATGGCACAGACAGCCCTCTGCACCCCCGGAGCAGCCAGCCAGCTAGGGCTCACTCATTCTGTGACACCCAAGTTCCCTGCCCACCCGACTTCCCTCTGTGGCTCCTGGGCCTGAATTCAAGGCCACTGGCTTCACCTGGGGTCCTCGTTCCACATGCCCAGGCGTTTCAGCACCTCTGTGGTAGCCATCTCGCGGTTAAGGGTGTAGAAGTGGAGGCCTGGCACCAAGCCACTTGCCAGAAGCTCCTGACACAGGCTCAGAGCCTGCTCAATGCCATAGTTGCGGATGGCATCATCATTGTCTTTGATTGGCTCAATCACGTCTTTGATCTGCTGCGGCACCTCCAGCTTGGATAGCTTCACCAGCTGCCGAAGGGAGTGGTAGCCCTGTCCCAGAACAGGGAGGCTGTGGGAGCCATCTCCCAGCCCATCTCTCCCCCTAAATACTTATCCCCCTTCTCAGCTGCCACCATGTCTCCTGGCCACACTGGTGACATAGAGTGACCCAGGAAAGTTGTTAGACCATAATGTACAAGGACCCTGGCCTTGTCCTGTTTTTTCCGTTCTGCAGAGCACAGCAGCTACCCACAGCGTTCCTGCCACTGGCCCTTCAGCCCCTACGTGTACTTGCGGGTCACACCGTGGTCATCTGAGCTAGTGGTTCCCAAGCTGCCCTGATCATCAGACTCACCTGCAAAACTTAAGAATGTACAAATTGCCAAGCCCCACCTCAGATCTACTACATCAGAACTTTAGGGATCTGGAAGGCCATCTTTTGAAAAAGCTCATCAAATGGTTCTGATGACAGCTAAGTTTGGGAAACACTGATTGAACCAAAATGTATAAGCAGAGTTACCATGACACTTGTCAGTAAGCCCCTCCAACAGACACTGTTGCTGTTTGGTGGGGGAAAGTAGAGAAATGCCACCCAAAGTAGGGTGGCATTTTGCAAGGACTAGAGCATCTGTGTGATGGAAAATCTAATGAGCAATCGAAGTACTCGCCCGTGAACTTGGCACTTCACCCCAAGACTCTGGCCTGTGCCAGGCTCGGGGTGGAGGGAGTCCATTAGACCTCCTGGGACCCTCACCTGAATAGGAAAGATTCCCGGGAGGATGGGGCAGGTAATGCCTATCTCGCTGCAAGCCTGAACAAAGTGGAAGAATGTGTCAGCCTCAAAGAAAAGCTGGGTGATGATGAAGTCGGCTCCTGCAGACACCTTCTCCTTCAAGTACTTCAGGTCGGCCTCAAAGCTCCCTGCGTCGGGGTGGCCCTTGGGGTAACCTGCCGGTAGGGATGACAGTGGGGAGAGGCTGGCTCCACCTGCTCAAGGGGAGCGATAAAGAAACCAGAAAGCTGGAAACACGGAGTTCTCTGCCTCGGGGCTTCTGGACTCATACCTCCCAGTTCCACAGCAGGGACTGGCCAAAACAGGGAGGGGCTGGGCTCACTGACGTGCCCCTCACCCTAGACAGGAGGGTAAGAGGTGGCTTAGAGTCACACACACCCCCACCCCCACAGGAGTGAGAGGTGGATTGCTCCAAACTCCCCACACTGTTCCTGCCTCTCGGCCTTTGCAACTAGCCGGGCAAACTGGGCCTGTGCTTTGTGGCCAGAGGAAAGAGGAAATGCTACACATAGCACTGGTCAGGCAGCATTTGAGGTGTTGGGCTTGAGTCTAGGTGCAGGATGAGAACCATGCTTTTAATTTAACATTACTCAGAGGTCCATTAGAGTAAAAACTCAGAAGCCATGTTACACAAGCAAAGACAGGAGAGAATGAAGATGTTTCACTTGAAGGAAAACATGGAGAGAACATAAACTTCTAAAGACCCAGAGGTCTGTCACGGGGACAAGGATGCAGCTTAAATGAGTCTCCTATAGTTGTATCTGTGTGGTTTCTGGTGGCAGAGCCCGGGGCAGCTGCAGCCAGAGCTGCCCAACGAGGGAACAAGCAGTCCCACAAAGTAACATCAGGCAGCCAGGACCACGTGGTAGGGACACGGCAGATGGATGGGATTCCGAATTGCCTGCGAGGCGGGCTGGACAGCATGGGGCTCCTCACTAGCTCGGTGAAGCCATGACTGCTTCTCTCATCATCCAAACTTACTAGCGGCCCAGCTGGCACAGGACGACCACAGGCCCTAATGAGACCACAGGGGCGGTGTTGGCTTCCTCAGCCACAGCCCAGGCAGGACCCCAAGCCAGGACGGGGGCAGAACCGAGAGCCAGACTGTTCGGGAGCCAAGCTGCTTTGTTGTTGTAAGGCAGTTTTGTTCTTAAGAAACCCCAAGTCAGCAAAAATGGAAAGAAACACTACTGTGTCGGGGGCTGAGGGGGTGGGAAGACAATGAGGTTTTAATAGCTGAAACTATCCATAAAATCTCAACATCACCAAACAAATCCAGCATTTGGTTACATTTGGGTTTTGCTCAGTTTGTGGTGCCCTCTTTCTGTCATGGACAGCTTGGTCTTTCTCACCCCCTCATAAGTGACGAACTGAACCACTCAGCCCCTGTAAGCTCCCAGCTCTGCTAGTTTCCACTCAGGACCATTCAATGCCCACTGCCCATGTGCATGTCCCCCAGTTAACTGGCTGCATCATTCCTGGAAATGCCTGCTGTGTTACAAACTCCCCATCAGGGCCTCCTACCCTCATCACCCGGACACTCGTTGACCAAAAAGAGTGGACCTGGGGACCTGGTAGTAAGACCAACGTCACCTACAGTAAGTACTATCCTTGAAGACACATGGCTTTTTAAAATTCTGATCACTTTGGTATGCTTCTCCTAATGTAGCCATGCTTATTTTAATATAAAAATGATTTTCCCCAAAATATTTGAGAAAAATTGTTATCCTGAGATGATGAGTCAAATTACTCCCTGGCACATGCTGCCTCACCATACCCATGTGAGAAGCTAAAGGCCCAATCCCAGCGAGTGGCGGCAAGAGGGAAGCCCACCCACCCGGGAAGCCCACCCACCCATCTCTAGCAGGTGGACCTTGCCTCCTGGCTCTAGCCCTCGGAGCTGGAATTGAGCTGATCTGATTCTCCTTCCTGGGAATTTGGAACCCATCAGTGTGGGCTACTGGCTGGGACTGACGGTGTACATCGGGAGGAGGTGGGTGGCTGATCACATGTGCAGAAAGGTGTACACATCAGGTCTACTGGACAAAGCATGGAGATGTGCAATGGGGGGCAAAGATGGGGGCCTACATGGCCTGGACAGAATAAGGGAGGGCCTTAGTTCTGACTGCTCCTTGGTTTCAGCTCCTAGTGAGGTCTGATGCCATTTCCTGACCTTGAGTGCTAAGATTTCCAGAATCTTAATAAACATTCCTCTTTTGTTTAAAGAAGAATGGGCCTGGGACGCAGGCAAAAAGCACAGAAAGGCAGAGGAACAGAATCTGAGGGGCAGTGGCAACCTGGGCGGGTAGCCCTTGGCAGAGTGAGACAATGTGTTCAATGGCGGGTAGCCCTTGGCAGAGTGAGACAATGTGTTCAATTGACGTGGGCCCCGCTCTCACCTGGGGGCACTGGCTCAGACCCCTGGCCCCCCTACCCCTGCTCCTGAACTGATTCCTGGCAGGCTCTCCTCTGGTTGGCTCATTCCATCCCACCCACTGGGACACTCCTGCCACTCACCTGCCACACAGATGTCAAAGTAGTCACCAAACTCGCCTCGGATGTGCTTCACCAAGTCCACAGCATAGCTGAAACTGCATTTGTCCTCTTCCCACTCATCACCTATGGGGTCTGCAGGGTTGGTGGAGGTCACGGTCACCGGGTCTCGCCCAACCTCTGATGGCCTTTACGTTCCTTCTCCCTACCCCTACACCCAGGCCCATGAGCTGCCCCAAGGCAAAGCCTTCACTGGAGTTTGTGTCTCGGCTTCCTAGCACAACACTTGGTAAATAGTGGGAAGGAAGACAGCAGCCAGCCAACCTGTCAAACATTTACTGAGCACCGACTCTGCAGGGTGCGCTGGCAGCGGTAAACAGGGACGGCTGCTGCTGTTCCTTTAGCCTCAAGCATCTGAGATCTCTTCCCTGCTCAACCCTGGTGTGTTCAGGCACCCTCACCCAACCCCCTCTGGCTCTCCTATTGTCCTGGAGCGCTGGCCTCCCGGGAGAGTCTTCTACTCATCTCAGTCTTGTGGTGGGCATCATGAGGCCACAAGGTCCCAATGACGGTGTACATCGGGAGGAGGTGGGTGGCTGATCACATGTGCAGAAAGGTGTACACATCAGGTCTACTGGACAAAGCATGGAGATGTGCAATGGGGGGCAAAGATGGGGGCCTACATGGCCTGGACAGAATAAGGGAGGGCCTTAGTTCTGACTGCTCCTTGGTTTCAGCTCCTAGTGAGGTCTGATGCCATTTCCTGACCTTGAGTGCTAAGATTTCCAGAATCTTAATAAACATTCCTCTTTTGTTTAAAGAAGAATGGGCCTGGGACGCAGGCAAAAAGCACAGAAAGGCAGAGGAACAGAATCTGAGGGGCAGTGGCAACCTGGGCGGGTAGCCCTTGGCAGAGTGAGACAATGTGTTCAATGGCGGGTAGCCCTTGGCAGAGTGAGACAATGTGTTCAATTGACGTGGGCCCCGCTCTCACCTGGGGGCACTGGCTCAGACCCCTGGCCCCCCTACCCCTGCTCCTGAACTGATTCCTGGCAGGCTCTCCTCTGGTTGGCTCATTCCATCCCACCCACTGGGACACTCCTGCCACTCACCTGCCACGCAGATGTCAAAGTAGTCACCAAACTCGCCTCGGATGTGCTTCACCAAGTCCACAGCATAGCTGAAACTGCATTTGTCCTCTTCCCACTCATCACCTATGGGGTCTGCAGGGTTGGTGGAGGTCACGGTCACCGGGTCTCGCCCAACCTCTGATGGCCTTTACGTTCCTTCTCCCTACCCCTACACCCAGGCCCATGAGCTGCCCCAAGGCAAAGCCTTCACTGGAGTTTGTGTCTCGGCTTCCTAGCACAACACTTGGTAAATAGTGGGAAGGAAGACAGCAGCCAGCCAACCTGTCAAACATTTACTGAGCACCGACTCTGCAGGGTGCGCTGGCAGCGGTAAACAGGGACGGCTGCTGCTGTTCCTTTAGCCTCAAGCATCTGAGATCTCTTCCCTGCTCAACCCTGGTGTGTTCAGGCACCCTCACCCAACCCCCTCTGGCTCTCCTATTGTCCTGGAGCGCTGGCCTCCCGGGAGAGTCTTCTACTCATCTCAGTCTTGTGGTGGGCATCATGAGGCCACAAGGTCCCATCATCAGGCCCCCTCTTCCCACATGTGGGTGGTCCAATGCCAGCAGGCACCAGAGGCAAATGCAGCTATTCCCACTATGGGAAAAATGCCAGGCCTGTACTCTTTGACGGGGCTAAGAGCTGGGCGTGGCCAGTGATCAATGAAGCTGTGGGTAGCCGGGCCACAGGGTTATCAGGCGCTACTGCATTCCTGACTGAACTCCTACGTCGAGGTTGAGAGGTTAAGAGGTGTCTCCATGTGCGTGCCCACGATACTCACTACCCACAATGCCTACTGATGCTACTGGCAGGCAGGCACCCAAGCGGGCTCCGTGTGGGACCCAGAGGAAAGTGAAGGACCATTCCAGGGACAGAAGAGGCCTTTGGTGAAACAAGACCCCAGAGAGTAAAGTACTGGCTCCACACCTCCCCTCAATGCCAGGATGTTCTTCAGGCCCAGCCGCTTGGCCTTGTGCAGGTAGCCAGTGATATCCTCCTGACTCTGACGGCAGCAGGTCATGTGCAGCACGGTCTCCAGGCCACAGTAGTTGACAGCAGTGCTGGCGATCATCATGGAGGAGGTCTCTTTGTCTGAGCCAGGGTCCCCTGCCGGGTGCCAGGTCACATCTATGAAGAGGGGACCGCCTGCCCCCATCCGGTCAAACCTGTAGTGAATTTCTTTCTGAAGAGGGACTTCTAGGAGCACACCACCCTTTACCGCCTTCCCATGGAGTCTGACAGAGAAGCATCGCGTACAGGTTGGATTTGGACCATCCTGCATTCATTCTGGCTTTGCTATTTATTAGCTTTGTGATCTTGGGAAAATTAATCTGAGTCTCTCTGAGGTTCCTGATTTCTAGAACGTGGCAGAGAATAGTACCGATTTCGGGATAGCACTGTGAGGATGTTATGATTGATGGCTCCACAGCTCTCAGGACGGTGCCTGGTACACAGTGAACACTTAATCAATGTGAGCTGCTATGACGAGTTACTACTATTGTGGAGAATAATACACTACAACAATGCACCCATTTTGTGTGAGAGCAGCTCTTTGGTCTTTACAAAGTGCTTGCACGTTTATTATCTCGAACATTTGGATGGTAAGGGTTTGGGGAAAGTTAGAGTGGCAAGGAGAGGCTCATGCTAGGAACAGGAGAAAAGAGGGTCATGCTGCCCCCCCAGTCCTGCTGCAGCAGCCAGCAGTCCTGTAGAACAAGACCACTGTCCAGAACTAGGCTCAAGAGCCATGGGTGTGCACACACACTTGTGTTACAAGCTATGACATGTTGCATTTAAATATCTCGTGCCTCTAAATGTCAAAATCTTGGGAGCAACACATGCGAAAAGCAAACGGTAAAAGGCGTAAACTTTAAAAAAGGAACTGCAATTCATAGTGTGCTAACGTAATTCAGCTGGCATTTCCAGATTTCAAGAGGCACAATCCAAATTCCTAACTTGCTGAAAATGTTCTCCAAGCTGCTTCCTGGCTTCCTAAACTGTACTCACGAGACAGCCCCAGGTTCCGCCAAAGAATGCAGTCGGAGAGATTCCACATTTTTAACCCATGGAAGAATGTGCCTAAAAATTCCTGATGCCTGCAGGGACTTTACAGACAACTGAGAAGCTGCGGATCAAATTATCTACCCTGCCTTTGCTCCTTTCCACCCCCTCTGCTGCCTTTCTCTTCCAGGTCAAAGTGCAGCCTTGCCTCAGGGCTGACAATTCACTTCTCCCCGGCTCCCCTCCCTCCATTCTGGCCCTTCTCCTTAACTCTATATCAGCTCACCTCGAGATGAGATTGACAGCTCCCTCAGCAGTTCGAGGAGGGAAGAATTCTAGGGAGAACCACTTGTCGCCAGATTCTATCCTCCGTCTCATCTTCTCCCTGAGCCTCTCATGCCGCTCGGGGTCCAGCCCCGGTGTGGAACACCTCGAACTAGAGCTGTCACTGCTACTGCTGCCCTCCAAGCGGGGCGTGGGGCCGCCGTTCCCTCTGGGTTCATCCACCATGGCCGGGTTCCTGCTGCGCGGGGTGTGGGGTGGGCAGGGAGCGTCAGTGCGCCAGCAGCCAGGCCCCAAGGCAGCGTCAAGGGAGAGATGCTGCATTTCCATGCAGGGAGAAGGCCAGCGAAGGCAACAATGCCCCCACCCAGAGGCTATGCACACCACGGCCACGAATGTCTGCCGCCTCACTCAGAGCTTTGCCCTCCGCTGCTGCCTGCCTCCCAGCGACAGCCCCCACCCGGCTCAAAACCATGCTCCTTCATCCCGAGGGTCCTCGGTACCAGCTACCTGACAGAGGGTGGCGCTGAGAGCCTCGGGCTGCTGACCTCGGAGGACCGCATTCCTAGGGAGGGGCAGCGGTGCCTGCCTGGGAGGATCTTGGGTTTTGGATGGTCCATCTCTGCCAGCTTGGACCCAGAGTGGGTGGGGGAGAATCTGAAGAGCCTTGCCTAGCGAGTGTGTCTGAATGGGCGGGGCTGGGACAAGGGAAGAGCCCAGAGTTGGAGCTAGGGCCTCAGTGGGGGAAGGGGGCGGGGGCAAGACTTCCAGGCAAGAGGGAGGGCGGAGGCCCTAGCTGTAGAGGGCGGCTGGGAGGAGAATGCGGCGGAAGACCGCAGGGCTGGGTGGAGATGAGGCCAGCAGACGAAGAGGCCAGGAGATGAGTCCAGGGTCCCTGGCTCGCTCTCCAAAGAAGGAATAGCTGAGTCTGGCTCTGCCTGGAACTTCTCCCGTTCCTTGGAACAGTTTGTATGCATGCAGGAAGGAAAGGGATGAGGAAAGCAGCCAGATTTCTCCTGAGTTCATGCTACTCCCAGAGGACCCTGTCATGGGTTAGAACTTGACACTGGCTGGGTTCCAAAAGCAGCCAGACCCAAGTTCAGTAAGGACATGAATTTATGTCAACTCAGAACAGAGGCTGTCCCATCTGTGCCTGCCTTCCAGGCCCTTCTCCTTACACACACCACAGAAGTCAGTTAAAATAATGACAGTGACTGCACAACCACATGAGAAGCCCTGAAACATGGCAACCACAGGCAGGCCAGCAGCGGGCATGGTGCCACTGGGCAGTTTGGCAGGGAAAATAAAGGCAGACACTTCAAACAAAACACTACTCTTGCACAGCAATGTGCAAACACATTTAGTAAATCCAGTGTGTGGAGACACAGAGCATTAGAACCAAGCCAAATATTTTTCTTTCAGAGAACATCCACTGCTAAGCCAGGGTTAACCATTTTGGCAGGCTTAGATTCTTGAGAAATTGATGAAATCCACTGTTCCTCTCTCCCAAAACACACACAAATGCACCTCACACACATTGATACATCCATCCAAAGTCAAAGTCAAGACCAGAGTGAAAACTCTAGTGCCAATGTTTTCTCTCCCTAGGGATGCCTATTGATTCTAACCTAAAACCCCCATTTGTCACCAGGGTTGGCCATCAGGAGGGAGAAAGAGGACAGTGTCAAGATCATCCCATCTGGTCTTTCTCCCGAATTCAAGAGAGGGCCTCACTAACTGTCTGCCGGAACAAATCCCAGAGTGGGCAAGGCAGAACCACCTGTAAACTCTCTGCTCTTTCATTTGTTCAATAAGCATTCCCAATATGGGGCAGGCACACAGTGTGTTTCGAAGCTTCCTTCTCGTGCTATTAATCATTTCAAGCCAGGCTGCCATAGCACCTTGGTTTGTAATTGTGAACTCACCCCCAGCTCCCCGAGCCCAGGGCCCAGTATCCTGCCTGTGGTATCCAGTGCCTGACACATGGTAGTAACAGACAACACTCAATGGGCGCTAATGGGCCAGGCACTGCCACTCCATTCTTAAAATAATCCTCTGCCATTTACTGACCACTTGCTTAATCTGCCAATCTCCAAGTAGTGGGGGGACAGGGATCCCACCACTTCCAGAAGGGTCCGAGTGGGCACCTATACCCACTGCTCAGCCCGACTCAATGGGCACTGGGGACAGCGTGCCAGCGGCCCACGGCTCTTCAGGTTTTCAGCAGGATGGCAGGCGTAAAAGGCTGGAGCTGGAAGGATGCCTTCGGCGCCCGGGTGGCTCGAAGGCTGTAAATAGAGTCTCCGTGTCACTAGGTCACGGGCAGCTGTGGGGACAGGGGCCCAGGCCTGGCCCCGTTTCAAGGTTGCCTTTTCCCCGGGGTTCCTTCATCTAGGCCGAAGACCAAAAGTGAATCGTGGCTTCAGGGGTGGGGGTCGCCGGGGATGGCTGGGATCGGGGGTTAGTTAGCACTAGTCCCGCAGAAAGCCGGCGCAGGGTAGGCAGAGACCCCCCCACCCAGACGGGCCGGCCGGCTCCATCGCTTCCTGTCCCCTGGCGGGTGGTCACGGGTTCCCGGGCCCCCGCCCAGGGACCCCACCCCTCGCCATCACTCACCTTCCGGTTGTGGGCCAATCGCGGCGCGTGCGCTCGGGCTGAAGCAGCCCGGCCGGGGCGGGAGCGCAGCCGGGGGCGGGGCGCGCGGGGGAGGGGCCCGGCGCAGGCGTCAGGTTGCTAAGGGAGGTGGAAACCCCCGCGCGGCGAAGCCGAGGCCACGCCCCCAGCGCGGCCGCGCTCGGAGGTCTGTATGGAGGCCCGTTCCACCGTCACGTGACGCGAGTCCTCGCTCCACCCGCCGCAGCCACTCCCCGTCTCCGTCCCCAAGCTCGAGAGGGCCACGTGATGCTCCCGGGGCCAGTCACGTGAGGCGCGGATCCCGGGTGGGAGGGGGCTGGCTCGGGGTCCAGAGCGGCTGTAGGGGAGGAAGATGGCGGGGTGCAGGGGGTCCTCGTGCTGTTGCTGCCGATGGTGCTGCTGCTGCGGGGAGCGTGAGACCCGCACCCCAGAGGAGCTGGTAAGAGCGCGCGGGGCGGGGCCGGGGGGCGGTTGCTAAGGAACGGCGAGAGGCGTTGCCGGGGGCGGGGCTGAGCCAGGCTGAGCCCTCAGGTGGCAGCGGGTGGGGCCGGGGGACCGCGGCGCGGGCTGTCGCAGCATCTGTCCCGCTTCCCGTCCCCGAGCCCGGGGTCTTTTTTTTATAACTCCTCCCTGGAATCTGAGGGAGATCGAGGCCAGCTCCAGTTAATTCCATCCAAATTTTCGTTTATTTACGCGTGAAAGGAGTTTGGAATGAAACAAACATTTTCAGAATGAGCCCCTTTACTGGACTTTGTGCTGATCACGTAGCTGGCATAGTTTCTCGAGCCCTTTCTAACTCTATCTCTCATCCTTTCTGGGTCACTGCTATTCCAGCTTCCTCTGCAAAGCACCCTGGGAAAACTGAGTTGCTGTGTACCCAGAGTTGACAGGTCCCTTCTGATTTAAGATTCGGCACACTTTCGGTTGGGACCTGAATTTTTTTCCCTTTCAGCTGGCAAGGGACATCTTTGAGGTGTCCTTCAGACAAGAGTGGTTACTTACAGAATGTATCCTTAGGAAAATGAGCTCATCTGGATGACTTTTGATCCCCACCCACATCACCTCCTAAGTCCAAGATTTTTTGAGGTCTTGTCCCACTTGATGGTAATGGCTCCAGGTGATTGAGGAACTAGCAACTGATTTCAATAAATACTTCTGCCGCTTTCCACTTTTAACCATTAAAAAGGTCTTCTTTCTGTGAATCTGCTTTTCTAGACCATCCTTGGAGAAACTCAGGAAGAGGAGGATGAGATCCTTCCAAGGAAAGACTATGAGGTAAGATTCTTAGACACTGTCTTTGGTAACAAGAGTAATGAGTGACCTGGTCACTTCAGACCAAAGTATTAAGATTCCAAAGAGAGATGTTCTTTGACAGTCTTTCCCGGGAGTGAGTGGGTAAGAGGTAACTTCTCTCTGGGAAAGGGGCTGTTTAAGAAGCTCTTTTCTCACCTCATCCCCAAAACAGGGTGTGGGTGTGTCCCCGTGCTTTCATAGATCTATGCTGGCACCTTAACCTGGATACAGTATGTGTTTGCCACTAAGCCATTTGTTTTTACAATATATAGAGACCCAGAGTCAAAGCCACTGACAGTTTCTGCTCCTACTAGGTGTGGGCCAGGTCCTTCTTCTCTTCTCAGTTTTCAGGTGATTGTTTCCTGCCCACCCAGCTTTTCTATGAAATGTTGTTGCCTATAGTTCCCCGTTTCAAGTATGGAACTCTTCTTGTGTATGTGTTTAGTAAGGTCAGCACTGCTGGAGTGAGACGTCATGCCCATGCCTTTTTATCATGTAATCAGTTCATTAATCAGATGACATCTCTATGACTTGTGAAATGACAAAAACCAGCCATGATTGTGATAGAGAATTCTTAAACTATTTACAAAAAAAAAGCTACAGAAAAATCCATAACCTCACTCTGTAAAAGGTAGTTATTAACCTTATTAAATCTCCTTTTCCATGCTTACATACTTGCTTTAAGTAACAAAAGTGAGATCCTTACTACACTCTTTTAACGTGTTTTCCCCCTCAACCTCGATAACAATTTTTGTGCCACTGGAAGCTTTTCTGCAGTATCTTTTAAAATAGGGGAATGCTCTTTTGTTATGCTACAATTTATTTAATCTGATTTTTCTGTATGATGTACTGCATAGTTGTGACTATCCTTTCTTGTTCATTCTTAATTGCTTACTTAGATTAATTCCAAGAAATGTAATTAATCATGTATATATTTAATGCTTTTTAAAAAAAATGTCATGTAGACTTTGAAAATTCAATATTCTAGGGCAATAACATACCCAGACTAATTAACGTTTAATATGTCATCTTCTGCTATAGAATTTAGTGTAAGTATGATGATCTGTAGTGTAGCATGGAATTAAAAAAAAACTTTTATTATAGAGAAGTTCAAATATACACAAAAATGGACAGAATAGTGTATTAAAACTCCCTGTACTCATCACATAGCTTCAAGTCATTCAGCTTACGCCCAACCTTGTTTAATCTGTGCTCCCATCCACTTCCCCCTTCCCATATTATTATTATTATTACTATTTTTTTTTTGAGAGGGCATCTCTCATATTTATTGATCAAATGGTTGTTAACAACAATAAAATTCTGTATAGGGGAATCAATGCCCAATGCACAATCATTAATCCACCCCCAGCCTAATTCTCATCAGTCTCCAATCTTCTGAAGCATAACGAACAAGTTCTTACATGGTGAACAAATTCTTACATAGTGAATAAGTTCTTACATGGTGAACAGTACAAGGGTGGTCATCACAGAAACTTTCAGTTTTGATCACGCATCATGAACTATAAACAATCAGGTTAAATATGAATATTTGTTTGATTTTTATACTTGATTTATATGTGGATCCCACATTTCTCCCTTTATTATTATTATTATTATTATTTTCTTCCCATATTATTTTAAAGGAAATCCCATCCATCATATCATTTCATCCATAAATCAGCATGCATCTCTAGAGGATAAGGACTTTTTTCTAGTAGTTTAATATGCTACTTTGGGAGTGCTTGTCATGAATCAAAAAGCATGGTAGTCACTGATGTATTTTCTCATATTTCTTAAATACCTAGTTTTTTTGTACCTAGTTTTGAAAGGGTCATGAGAACTGGTGTGAGACGCTCCATATTTTGCCGTCACCATTGCACCTGGTGATATCACCCTTGACTGTATAATCTTGACTGAAACTCTCTCAGCCTTCATCCTACTCCAGTCTCGTGGCTTCTCTGCTCCATCAACCCTGCTGTTCCCAAGGCTCTTTTATTCCTTTCACTAAATTGCACTTTTATTTGTAGTGCATTTAATTTCAGCTGATATGCATATTTATGTAGATTTTATGGGTTAATGTTCTTTTCATGTGAGTCATTCATATTTCTCAATTAACCATTTTCACTTGTGAGTTTGAGAGCATTTGTGTAAGAGCAAATTTAGCTAAGCCCTTAATCAGAAAAGTCTGCTCAGATTGTATTAGAGATCAATTAGGAATGGAAGCACTGAAATCTTTCTAAAATGTGCTCCTTTTCCTTCTTGCCTTACTAAGAGTTCATTGCGATACTTGACTGAGAAGTTGGAGGTATTACAAGATGTTAGAATACCTGTTTTGACATAGAAGATTTGAATAATAACTCCCTATCTGTCATTACCAACAGTAATATTTTCATCAGGTCATAGAGCCTGTGGTGCTCTTTTGAGTTAGAGAAAGGCAGAGCAGAGAATTTAGAATAAAAGGCCTCCCTTCTGGGCCATAGCAATGCTCAAAGACCCAATGAAGGTACATTTTTGTGTGAACACTAAGGTGCCCTTCCTAATTGAATTTAGGCTGCATTTCAGCCCCTAATTGCCCCCATGGCCACAGTACCATTTTGCTCACAACCATAGGCAGTAGCCGCACAGGACACCTATACAAATACTTTTTTTTTTAACTGTTGGTCCCCCAAACCAAAAAGAAACATATACAGAAATAAAAGGGAGTTAGTCCTCACAAGGGAGAAATAAACAATACCTGGTTATAATAATATATCATATAGTCTGTTCATATTTTCAAATTGTCAAACTCTTAATTAATAACAAAGGTGTATGTTCTGGTGTTCGAATTGTTTCTGAATGTCCCTTTTGACAGCTTTACTGAGCTATAATTCACATTCTCTACAGTTTGCCCTTTTAAAGCATACAAAGTGATGGTTTTTAGTATATTCACAGGTTTGCACGCCCATCATCAAATCCATTTTAGAACATTTCTGATCACCCCAGAAAGAAACCCTGTCCCTGTTAGCAGCCATTGTCCATTCCCCTTGCCTTTGACCCTAGGCAACCACCAATCTACTTTCTGTCTGTATAGGTCTGCCCGTTCTGGACATCTAAAAACCTTTTAAATGTTTGTGGAGCCAGAACATTATTAGATAAAACCATAAGCAAGTAATTAGTTGGCCAATAATTTCTGCACAAATTTGGTATTAAGGAGATTGGTTCCTAGAATGCAGTGTCACTTAACTGATTAAGAAAATGAATAATAGGAGTGTGAATGTGTGTGTATATATATATATGTATACACACATGTGTATGCATGTGGCACGTGTGCATGTCACATATATAATATGTGATTGTATGTAGTTATATATATGATACATATGTAATCGTTAAATACATATATATTTAATCATTTAGTAATTCATCAGTCTAGTTTCCCAGAAGTATTTTTTACTGACTGTGGCATTTTGTTTTGCAAACAGAAAAAAAAAATTCTTAATGTAAAAGTATACTGTGTTTGTAGTGAGAATTTCAAAGGATACCCAGATGTGGAAAATTCCTAAAACACCGCCTCGGAAATAGCCACTGTTAACAGTTTTGTATTGTATGCTGACAAACAAATGATCTTAATTTTGTTTAATTAAAGTGGAAACCATATTATACATTCTCTTCTGCATCTGGTTGTGTTTATTTATTTAGCATCCTTTTTCACTTAATAATCTTTATACCCTTTCCACATGTGACTGTGTAGACCTGTCGTAATTATTTTATTACTACATAGTCTTCCATATCTGGATGCATGATCATCACTTTAATTAGTAACTTGTTGATACTCCAGGACCCTTTTAAAAATAATTTGGATTTGGGGTAGTCATATAGATGGAGTAAGTCGCCACATGTCACCACTGTGGTTTGTCTGACTGTGAACTCCCGCCTAGGAGTGTGGCTACCAGGCCAGTGTCCCGCTTGTTCACCAGCTGACTGACTTGTAGGTAGCAACAGCTTGTAGGGAGGAGTGAGCACACAACAGAGACCATTTTCCTTTGTTGCCCAACTGCTGACAAGACATAGAAATGAAAGCATTTCCTTTGAATTGTTTCTCGGATAGTCTCTCGTGCACCTGCGGATTGTTCACAGAACAGCTGTGTTCTGGGAAGCATGGTTTGGTGAACACTGCTGTAGATGTGGGTTTAGGAGCAGTGCTGAATCTGTGACTCTTCTGAACGTAAACCTGAAGTTGCTTTTTAAAATAGTCTCCCTAGTAGTGTGTCCTGGTCACTAACCTCTTTTTCATAGAAGTTAACTGAGGGGAGATACTTAGAATTAACTGCCTCTCTGAATTAGTTTGGTTCTGGTTAACTAAAGCTTTTATTCATGGATGAGAGTAAATTGGGTAACACAGGTGATAGCTGAAGGTCTTCTACTGTTTTGCAGAAATAAGATGTCCACATTTTTCCTAAAGCATCAAGTATGACCCTAAAGCAGTGCTCCTGTAATGCCAGTGTCCACCAGGTTGCAGATTCTGGTGTGCAGATCTGACGGGGTCCGAGATGTTGCATTTCTAACCAGCTCCTCTAGTGTGGCTGCAGGGGCCACTGCTCTGCCCATCCCCACTTGCAAGTAGCGGGAACTTGGGAGTTTTATCCCTTTCCAGGCTTGGTAATTCTTCCTATGTGGTTGCACCTTTTTCACTCACATATCCCTCTTTCAGAGCCTGGATTATGATCGCTGTATCAATGATCCTTACCTGGAAGTTTTGGAGACCATGGATAATAAGGTTAGTCCTTTATTGATGCCTTGGGACTAAATAGGTGTTACAATGGTTTCTTTTCCTCTTCTAAAAGCTTTGGTAAATAGCCTTACCCCTTGCCCTTTTAACTCCTTCCTTGAGGAATCAGCATCTTTTCCTTAGGCCTTCATCCTGCTAACCTGAGTCCCCTCTGCCAGTGCACCTGGCCCAGCCCTTAGACTTCATCCTGCTTGCATTGTGAAGCCCCTGCCACGCTAAACATCATCGCCATACCTACTCTCCCTGTGGGATTTAGTCTAAAACTGGTTGGCTGAGATGCATTCCTCCCCTGCTGCCAACATAACCCTGTAATGAACTGAGTCTTTCTTTTCTTGTGTGCACAGAAAGGTCGCAGATATGAGGCAGTCAAGTGGATGATGGTGTTTGCCATTGGTGTCTGCACTGGGCTGGTGAGCAGGCGGGGCATGGGGAGATGGCAGACCAGAGGGGTGGAGAGAGGGTCAGAGGGCAAGTTATCATATAACAGAGGCTGCCTTTTCTTTTTAATTATTCTGACACTGTTTTTCATATTTCTTTTGCTTTCACTTTGTAAAATGAAAGCAAGCCGTGTCACTCTGGTGCTGTTTAATAACTCACTCAAAGGCTTGGTCAATACCTGTCTCTTATGATATGGTATGGTCGTACCAGGTAGATAACATAGTGGGACGGTACCTAGTGGATATCGCAGTCGCTGTAGGGAAAAAACCAATAGTGGAGACAGAACCATGAAGATGATCCCCTGGCCTTTAGCATAGCAGGCCAGTGAACAGGACACTGGCGGTATCAGTACATTTATTGTGCTGCACTGGACTTCTTTCCTGCACTTTGCTCATTTTATCTAGAAAGTAGGTTGTGGTTGTGGGTAGAGGACTCTGCCTGAATGCACAGGGTTCTGGGGTCCGCATGTGCACAGACAAGATAGGGAAACCCTGCCAAGGAGTGTAGAAGTACAAGGTCTGGAACCACAGCTGCTGACTTAACCACTGTTAAGCCTGGAGAACAGAAGCTAGAGAAGTCAGCAGACATCAAAACGATACATGTCAGATGTGATTTTCCATCAGTAGTGTTAGAAAAGGGGGTTGTCTTAGTCCATGCAGGTACTATAACAAAAATACCAAAGACTGAAGGGCTTAAACAACAGATGTTTATTTCTCACAGTCCTGCAGGCTCAGAAGTTAAAGATCAGAGGGCCAAAACAGTTGTGTCTGTGAGGGCCTGCTTCCTGGTTCATAGAGGGTCACGTTTTTGCTACGTCCTTCTGTGGCAGAGGCAGGCAAGAGAGCTCTCTGGGTCTGTTTTGTTAGGGCATTCACTAATCCTATCCGTGAGGGCTCCACATTCATGCCCTAAGTACCTTTCCAAGGCTCACTTGCCGACACCATCACTTCTGGGATTAGCATTTCATCCTAAAGATTTTGGGGGGGACACAAACATTTAGTCCATAATAGAGGTTATCTGTATTTCTAAGCAGCATCCTATTTATCTATCTACAATTATTCATACTTAACTCTACATGATATACCATAACGTGTAAATACATGTTTAATACAGCCACAGAGGTGGCCACAATTTTTATTTTCATGGTACTTGTCAAATTTGAACTGTAGGGAATACAGAGGTCAAGGAACATCTTACTAGTTCAGACCAGTGACATTCAGAAAGCCTCTTTGGTCCCACTCTGAAGAATCCCATTGTGGCAGCAACTTAAGTTGGTTAGTTTTACTGAAATTTCCGACTGCCCATTTTGCTATATGTTTCCAGTTTCGAATTTCTCTGTAATAAGCTGAGTCATTACCCATCTAGTCGTTAGTGTTGCTGCTGCGTTCACATAGAACTCCTTTTTAAAAAGGAGTTTATCAACACCAACAGCCTTACCTGGCACCCTCATGTCAGGGGAAGGCAGACGTGCCTTTATAGTGTGGCAGCCAGTCCCTCTGCTCCAGATTCTCCTACCCTGTGATCTGTCACCACTTACTGCTTCAATATTTAAAAGCCTCCTGGCATTGGCTGCAGGGCACACTGGAGTTAAAGACATGAAGCTTTGATCCTGAACCCACAAAACCACCTGTTTCCGGTTCTCTTAAGCCCCAGCAAGGACTTGTGAAAATGGAATCATTGAGCATGAGTGGTTTCCTTACAGCCAAGTGGTTATCTACCAGGATAACCACTTGGCTGTAAGTCAAGATAGTGGCTTATAAAATATTAAATAGTAATAAAAAACATTCAGAAGCTATAGACACTTATGTGAATGTTGTCTTTCAAAAGGCAGTATCCTAAGCTCTGTGTGCTTCCAGCTAAGCATCACTGAAGACATGTTTGGAATCCTCTTCTGCCCGTGTTCAGAAAGCTGAGCGGTGCCTCACACGGTGCTGCGTCATCACTCTCCAGTCATGGGGTGGCCTTCCTTGGCCTCACATCTTTTTCTGCCTCCTTTCCCCTCTTCCCATTTTACTCTTCTTGTCTCAACTTAGCTGCATCCTCTTCCTTTACTCCTTGGAGGGGCCCTGGGGCCAGGCCAGAGCGGGGATCCCCTGGAGAGCCAGATGGCTCCCAGGAAGCTCCGGTCAGCGTCGCTGGTTGGGAACGTGGGGGTGCGTGACCAGCCAGTAAAGGGGGTGGAGGAAGCCAGCGCTTTGTGAGGGGAGTGCTGTGATGACGCCTTGCTTGCTCCGCACAGGTGGGTCTCTTCGTGGACTTCTTCGTGCGTCTCTTCACCGAGCTCAAGTTTGGAGTGGTACAGACATGTATCCTTGCCATGGTTCTAGGTGTTCCCAGACTCGGTGGTCACTGACTTTGCCTGCTTGTCTAGATAACGATAGATGTTATCTTTGAAGAGTTATTTATTAGCTATCTGGCTTTGAAGGTTTTAATTATAATTGGAGGACACAGGAGAAAGACTTTAATAAATAGATTGATTCATGTTTGTGGTTGGCGAGATGTAAATACCACACAGATGCCCTTTCTCCCTAGTCAGTCTGTAAATTCAGTGTAGTTCCAGTCAAGATCCCAATAGAATTTTTCAGGAACTTGAAAATTCTCTTGCTAAATTTGCATGGAAGAATAAAGGGCCAAAAGTAATCAAGACATTTTTTTAACAACAAGCAGGGGGACTTGCCCTACTCCATGTCAAGACTTGTATACTTTTAAGACACAGAAATTGAAACAGTGTTTTACTGGTGCAGCAATACCCAAAGTAGACCAATGGAAAATAACAGAGGAGGAGAAACTGGCCTGTACATATGCAGAAGTGTGAATGAACGGCAGAGTTAATGTTATAAATCAGTGGGGAGAAACAGATGGATTATTTAATAAAAGTTGCTGGGACATTGGTTACCCCTCGGGAAAAATATAAAATTAGATTCCTACTTTGTACTATAAATTAATTGCAGGTAGAATGACATTGTAAAAAGACCAAACAAAACTTTAAGGTATGATGTCAAGAGTAGGAAGTAATTTCTCAAAACTCTGGGAGGCACAAAGGGAAGGGGTGAAGATCAATAACCTTGACCACATCAATGTAAGTAAACAAACAAAATAACCCAAGCAGCAATAAAACAACGCAAAAGCAGACTCACAACCAAGGAGAGGTTACTCACTCTGCATTTAAGAGACAAATAAGTAGTATCTACAGTATAGGAAGAACTGCAGCTCAATAAGAAAAAAGCCCAAACGGTCCAATAGGAAAATGAGCCAAGGATGTGAACCGGCAGTTCTCAGAAAAGGGAAATTGAATGGCCAATAAAAAAGCCTATGGAAAAGTGCTCACCTCACCACTAAACAGGGAAATGCAAATTAAATTAAGGTGCCCTTCCCTCTGACTCATGAATTCTTCCTTTCGATGTGGGCCTTAGACACGTACAGAGATACTCACTGCAGCTTTGTGATCGCAAAAAGTTGAAGTCACACCAAATGGGAAAAGGGAAAAATTGTAGTATGTTCTTTCAATATAATTTTATGCAGAAGTTAAAATGAGTGAACCAGAGCTGTGTGTATCAACATGGCTAATTCTCAAAAGCTCAATGCTGAGGGAGAGAAAAAAGGAAATTATGAAAAGTGCATGAAGTGCAACTTAATTTTAGGAACACTTAAAACAACATGGATACACATGAAAATATACAGGGAAGGAGGCATGATAATTTCAGGTTAGTGTTCGTCCCAGCGGGGAGAGGGAAGGAAACAAAGCGTTTGTTTTTTTAATGGTATCTAATGTTCTGCTTTTTAAAAATTATCTGGAGCAAATATGGCATAATGTTGAGATCTGTGAAAGCTGAGAGTGGGGAGGTGGTGCAGGTGTTATTCTGTGTAACATTTGAAGTAGTTCATACCTTAGCAGTTCCCAATGTAGAAGACACCTCAGGCAAGTTGTTTCTTTCGAGTTTCCATATGGAGAACAGGGATCCTGCGGTAGGCAGCCAAGGTGTTTCCAAGGAGGAGAGGCTGCAGCGTTTCAGGTGACTGCGGGAGCGCCCCTGACTGGCAGGCATGCTTTCCTTGACCCAGTTTCTGTAGCGGTGGAGGAGTGCAGCCGGAAAGGCTGTCTTGCCCTGTCCCTCCTCGAGCTCTTGGGTTTCAACCTGACTTTTGTCTTCTTGGCGAGCCTTCTTGTCCTAATTGAGGTGAGGTGGTATGGCTCTTGCCATCTTGCCTATGAGGTCTTCCATGCCTGTGCTCATTTTCTGCCTTTCCATTTTGGCAATGTCAGGAAACTGAGTTAGACTGAGAATGTAGATTCCTGCAGAAGGTGGCTTCTCATTCACTCACTCAGAGAGGTCTCTGAAAGAAAAGGTTTCATCCTCTGATGAGATTAAAGAGGAAAAATCCAGATTGGTTCTCAACCATGGCAGCACATTAGAATCACCCAGGGAACTTTAAAAATGACTTTAAATACGTTTAAAATACTTTTAACTATAAAATAGCTCTGAAACGACTGCTACCCAGCTCAGAAGAATGAGATCAGAATCTCCAGAAGTGGGGTGCCTGCACTGATTGTTGGAAGGCCCCCCAGGTGAGGCTGAATCATGGGAATGTGACTCCTCCAGTCTCCCCTCAGACCTGCTGAGTCAGAAGCCCAGGGTGGGGCCCGGCATCTGTGCTGGGACAGGCCCACAGGTCATGCTGGGGCCGATGCGCGCCAGTTGGTCCCTGTAGCGAGGCTTCTGAATGTAGGCCACCAGACCGGTGACTGTGAGTTGATGGGCCTGCCCACTCTCCCCTGCCAGCCAGTGGCAGCAGGTTCCGGGGTACCTGAGATCAAGTGCTATCTGAATGGTGTGAAGGTGCCTGGGATCGTCCGTCTCCGGACCCTGGTCTGCAAAGCCTTTGGAGTGCTGTTCAGTGTGGCTGGAGGTAAGGAGGTCTTTCTTTCATCCTTCAGGTAGTCAAGGGATGAGGATGAAGAAGTGGTATGTATATGCATTAGTAGATTTGGATTTGAAGGGCGCCATCACACAGATCTCCGCACGTTTTGTTGGTGGGTTTTTTAAGTGAAGCGTCTGTCAGTAAGTTACCATTCAGAGATACCTGACGGACACTATTTAGTTTTGAGGCAGAATGATCATCTAGCTGGTTTACAGCCTTGGCTTTTTGCAAAGTCATCAAGCTTTTTGTGTAAATGGCCAGATAGCAAATATTTTAGGTTTCGTGGGCCAAGAGGCAAAATGGAATATGTAGCTACTTAAACTTGATATAATCATCTAAAACATATCCATGTGAGAATATACAAACCTTTCTTAGCTCTCTGGCTATACAAAAACAGGCAGTAATCCTGTCTTGGCCCGTAGGCTATAGTTTACTGACCCCCGATTTGGAGTTTATTTATAAAGAGTATTTTTCTTATTTAATGAAAATTTGACTCAAGAAGTTTCTCTTACCATCATATGATCGTCTCTGTTTAGTAGCTGTCAGGAGAATGTCTGTGTAGCAAAGGCCTCCTGACCCAGAGACCGTCCTGTGCTGACTGATGCTGTCCCTTTTCCCACCTGTTCCCAGGGCTCTTCGTGGGGAAGGAAGGCCCCATGATCCACAGTGGAGCCGTGGTGGGAGCCGGCCTCCCTCAGGTAAGGGACGACGAGCTGGGAGTGTATGTCCCTCAGGGCAGGCTTCCAGGATGGGGACTGTCCATGGTTGAATTTGGAAAAATCCATCGGGAGCACCCTAACGTGGCTTTAGAATCTGCTGTCAGTTTGGGTTGATGTGAAAAGCATGTGGTCTGTCTCCCAGGAGAGCAGGTAACTGGTACCTTGAGATTTTAGCAAGGTTCTACCGAGTCCTAGGGGCAGAATTGGGACGTGGAGAAAGTCTGTTCAAATGAAAGGCAGCTGGTGCCCCAGCAGCCTTGCCAGACGCCTCCACATAAGGTGGCTGCATAGATCGCGTCCGGGCTTCCAAGTCCCAGGAGGTGGATGCGTGGCAGACGGGTTTGGGCCCAGCTCTATGCCGAGTCCAGGTGAAACAGCCCAGGACTAGTAAGAGTCCTGTCTGGGCCGGACCCTCCATTTTTTCTTTTTTAAAGCTGAGGCTGGAGAAGCTAAGGAACTAGCTCGGGACTCCAGAGCCCCCAATCGCCAGGGCTGTGAGTCTGGGGAGCCTCAGTTCCTTTGCACCGTCCCTGCAGACAGTTACGTCAGTGCTCTGAAGGGAGAGGGTTCCTGGGGGGTGAGCTGTCGGAGCCAAGCGGAGAGGCTTTCGTCCCAAGCCGTCTTTTCATCTCTCTCGTTCCTGCCTTTATGTCAAGCACCCACCTCCCAGAAATGAGCTGAGAGGTGGAAGGAGGCCAAGCAGGGACTGGGCGGCAGCGTGAGAACCTCTCGGCCTGGCCGGGGTGTGCCTTCCTGCCCTGCCTCCTGGAACAGAGCTGACTTCATCTTCGGCAGCAGCTTTCAGTTCCTCCAACCCCCGTTGGCTCTGCTGTTTCCCCTTTTCTTTCTGACTTGTTGATAAAGCGCAGTTTTGTCAAATGCAAAATCTGACGTTTGTACAAAATGCACCTTCTGAGGATACTAGGAATTTGGGGGCAGGAAAAGAAGTTTCTCCCAAAGTAGCTTTTTTTCCCCCCTAGGTTGCTGTCCTGGACTCTTCCTTCTCATAGTACACATGCCCAGGTGTGCTCAAGCAGAGGGGACTTCCAGCGGGGATCCCTGCAGCCTCCATCCCTACAGGCCCCCCTCTGACTTTGTTTTCTCTTGTTCTAGTTTCAGAGCATTTCCTTACGAAAGATCCGGTTTAACTTCCCCTATTTCCGAAGTGACAGGTATGGAAAAGTTAGGAATTTATGTTGGGTGGGGGAAGAAGTGTTCATTTACTGCCGCTCAGGCTGCTACTCACTCTAGCCTGCTTATAATCTCCCTGCCGGGCAGGTTGCTTGTCAAACTGACTGTCAGAAAGAAGTGGGCTTTAAATTTTTCTTCTGAAGATAAGCACAAGGGCCAAGCTGGCATCATGGCTTCTATTTTGTCATGACAGAAGGCCTAGAACCACCTCAGGCAATGAGGAAGACAGTCCAGGATTGAAAACATGACCAAAATGTCCCCTGGAGGTCCACGGCCATTGCCGAGCACCTCCATATATGGGGCCTCGGTGGATCATCTCAGTGCTGCCACCTCCCAACAGGCACATTATCAAGAATGTATCTGATATTCCAGAATGATCTTCCAACTTTTCTGGGCTGGAAGGTGCTCTTCTTGGTACTTTTCTTTCCTGTGGGATTTGTGCTACTGACACCTTGCAATGCCCTTGAAGCCAGGGGCCCCAGTGCAGAATTGTCCACCTTCTTGTCTTGGTGTGCCTACAAGTTGTTGTTACCTGCTCCTCTGCATGTAACCAGCACTTGGACGCTCTCACTGGTGCTGTGACTTTCTGGAAGGAAGATCCAGTGAGATTGTGGCTCAGCAGTGACCTGCTTCCTGAGTGGGTGGCTGAGACTCCACGTTCGGAGCAGACTGTCATCGGGGAGCCCCTGCCCCTGAAGGAACCCCAGCTGGGGAGGGCGCTTGGCTCGTGGGTGAACTGTGTTTGCTGCCGTCTGTCTCACCAGAGCCTGTCCTTACACAGAGGCCCTGGCTCTGCACGGGTCACGTGATGAGACGTTGGTGGATCAGGAAGTGGAAAATGGCCTTTTCCAGCCTGAGGACTCTTTCCTGGGAAAACCGTCTGTCTCTTGTCTTCTCTCCTCAGAGACAAGCGGGACTTCGTATCAGCAGGGGCGGCTGCCGGAGTCGCTGCCGCTTTCGGGGCTCCCATTGGGGGTACTCTGTTCAGTCTGGAGGAGGGCTCGTCCTTCTGGAACCAAGGGCTCACGTGGAAAGTGGTGAGGAGGACCTTCAGTGAAATCTTCTCCTAAACTTAACACACACCCCAAAGTTAAACTGGATATATTTAACTTTGTCTCTTACTCTGTATGTCTACCGGTAGGTTCACTGAGACTGGGAGGGTTGCCTTTAGTGGAAATTCCATTGTTCTGAACACCCATAACCTCCAAACTGTGGACTTTTCTATACCTTCCATTTTAATGCCCTCCCTACGCCCCTCTCAGTGAACCCTCTGACGTGAAAACATGAGATGGTCTGTGTGCAGAGGCAGGCGGGGCAGCGCCCAGACCTGAGCCCCCTCTCCTGCCTCAGAGGGCCGTGTTCTCCCTCCGGTGTTGACTGCTGGCTGCCACAGGCTCTGAATGAATAGGCCCTCACAATAGGCTGTTGAGTGGGAACCTCTTTAGCCTTTTCCTGTCTTTCACACTTGAGGTGAAAGATCCCTACATCCAAACCTGGAGTTGGCAGGTTTCTATGTGGGGCAGTAGGTTTTGTGAGGACGTGTCAGGGAAAAAACAGGACTTGTCACTGTTGAATGTTTTTGTCTTTGTCACCTGTCCCCTAGCTCTTTTGTTCCATGTCTGCCACCTTCACCCTCAACTTCTTCCGTTCCGGGATTCAGTTTGGAAGTTGGGGTTCCTTCCAGCTCCCTGGATTGCTGAACTTTGGCGAGTTTAAGGTACGTTTTATCCTTTTCCCCAGAATTTCTCTCCTGACCCAGGAAAATTGCTGTCAAGTAAAGTACCAGAGAGAAGTGAGCAGAAGGGTAGGTACAGCCTGCGGTGGGGCGTTCCTCACGCTGCGCGCTCGGCGAGGGCAGGATGCCAGCGCGGGCCCCGCTCCGCGGGGAGCAGCAGCCTCACCTCCCATTTCCGGCTTCTCCGCACTGTCCCTTCCTGTTCTCACGGGCACTGTGGTTTTTCTCTCTCCCTCCCCTACCCCTTCTCTCAGTGCTCTGACTCTGATAAAAAATGTCATCTCTGGACAGCTCTGGATTTGGGTTTCTTCGTCGTGATGGGGGTCACTGGGGGCCTCCTGGGAGCCACATTCAACTGTCTGAACAAGAGGCTTGCAAAGTACCGTATGCGAAACGTGCACCCAAAACCCAAGCTCGTCAGGTACCTGCGCAGTCGCCCCTTGCCTGCCGGCTCCCCGAGCTCTGTGTGGACAGGGCGTCTCTCCTGAGGCGGGTGATCATGTGAACACCCTGCTTCCCACACCAGCTTTGATTTGGTGTCTGAGACTGAGGATGTAGATGGGCTCATAAATCTGCTATTTGGTCAACAGGCCAAAAGGTTGAATCTGAGCTTGATTTGTATCAGAGTTGCTGGTTGACTGCCAGCCTCTCTTGTCACAGGGCACATGACAAAGTCAGGAGGATCATTGAGACTCTCGCCCCTAAGACCTAGAACAGAAAGATGACAAGCATTTGGCAGCCCACGTTACCGGCTCCCCACATTTCACGTACAAACCGCTGGGACTCAGCAAGTCGCTGGCTGCCCAGAGGCTGCCGTACACGCTCTCGGGGAAATGAGTGTTGGAACAGGCAGAGTTGGGTTTTGAATTCCTGAGACTGGGTTTATTTTATCATGAAATAACAACCGTGCTTTGCTTCCTAGAGTCTTAGAGAGCCTGTTGGTGTCTCTGGTAACCACCGTGGTGGTGTTTGTGGCTTCATTGGTGTTAGGAGAATGCCGAGAGAGGTCATCTTCGAGTCAAATCGGTAATGACTCATTCCAGCTCCAGGTAACCCCATGCACCTGCTACCTTTGTCCTGCACCACAAAGAAGAATCAGAAATGAATGACTTGCCTCTGTTCAGCACTAATCCATGTGTCAGGTTCATTGTTCCACACCTGTAGCAGGTAGCTGAGAGAGAGGAACTTGTGGTAGTCTTTTTACCTAAGAGAGGATGTGCACGCTCTATTTTTTCCTTTTTGTGAACAACCCTGGCCATCACAGAGGGAGGGTCCTCTCTCTCCCCCTCTCTGTTGAACAAGATAACTGGAAACAAGCTGAGGAAGCAGACCGTCTGCTTCTTCAAGCGCTGGTCTGCTCTTCTCCCTCTGCATGCCTGGCAGGCACCCACCCGTCTCACCCTCAGGTTTGTGAGTCACCTTGCGGGGAGAAAGGAAGCAGCCACCCTGGTCTTCCCAGCATCTCTTTGTTCTTACTGGGTTTAGGCCACTTACTGGCACATGTTCTTTGGTATTTCTCCTTTCCCTGTCTTGGGAGTATGTAGTATTTTCCAGAACCTTTCCCTGAAAGAGCAGGTCAATGAGATAGGCACTGGAACTTTCTCTGGCCTGCATTTTTTTTTTTTTTCCAGCAGTGGGTCTGAGAGCTAGTCTGTAGTGAGCCAGAGGTGTGGGTCTGGCCTCAAGGGTGGAGGTAGAGAGCATTCTCTGAGTACCCTGTCTGGTTGCCCCTGAATAGCGCTCAGATCCCTCAGAGCCCCATTTAGGGTCTTTGTCTTGGATGGCTGCCTCTTCAGGGTCCCTGGGAACAGTCCATGAACAACAGACTCTGTTAGAATCAGGAGTCTTCAAACCATAGCCCGTGGGCCAAACCTGGCCCTTAGCAACTGCTTATTTTTATGTAGCTTCAAGCTACATAAAAATAAGCTACATTTTTAAAGAGTTGGAAAAAAAAAAGAAAAAATATGCAACAGAGACTGTGCCCTGCAAAGACTTAAGATATTTAATACCTGGCTCTTTACAGAAAAAAATTGCCAACCCCATTTACTAGTTATCCCTGAGGCTAACTCATTACCAGACTAGTGTTTTCCGAAATGTGTTCCATGGAACATTGATATGTATGATTAAAAAACAAATGGACAGGGATTCCATGGTCAAATGGGTTGACCAGAATTAAGTAAGTTTCTTTAATACAGGACTTCCTAGGGCCTTTAAAATTCCAGTAAGTGTTACAAATGTTTGGAATGTTCATTGTGGGTTAGATAATCCACTGGGCACTTCACGTACATGACCTCATTTTAATCCTTTCCGCTGCTGTATTGGCTAGTATTGTCCCCATGCTACGGCTGAGAAAACTGAGGCAAAGTGAGGTCTCGACCAAGGTCACTCAGCTAGTAACATATAGCGTGAGGCAGATATGATTCCCATTCCATAGATGAGGAAACTGAAGCTCCACAAAATGAAATACCTTTCCCAAGGTCATTCAAGAGTGGCAGAGTCAAATCTGTCTTATTTTGGCATGTGTGCTCTGCTTTTAGCAAATATTTTGATTTCCAAGGTGCTGTGATGCTTTGCAAAGAATTTAACTGCAGGACTCCTTCCAGAGAGCGCCTTCAGGAACTGGCATTCCCTCTACATCCAGTTTGGGAAATACCACAAGTGTAGATCATTACACTGTTGTCTCAACTTGTCCACCATTCACTGTTTTGCACACATTTCTCCTTTGCCAGCTCCTCCCAGCCAGGTTCTGCCAAAGGGGACTGTCCTGTTCCCTACAGCAGCCTTCATCAGCTGTAGTGCCCAGCCAGGCTCACCTGGTAGCGTTATACAAACACAGCACCGTGTATCGCTGTAGGGCCACCTAAGGGCATCTCTACAGTGTCATCCATAGAACTGAGTCCAGTAAAAATCCGTATCCTTTATGGGCACGTGTCATAGTACTCTGTTTGCACGCACAGTTACCTGCGTGAAGTAAATGCCTGGCCTGGACTAGTGCCCACCACCAACTGAAAAATAAGAACTGTCATGCTCCAGAGAACCTTACCCTCTAAGGAGCCAGGCAGTACCACACAAAATAATAGAGGGAATGAGAGGTCTGAGATGTGGAGGAACAATCTCCTCTTTTCCAGTTTGGGTTCTGTTCATCCGGGTGGGGCTTGGGGAGAGAGGCAGCCAGGAGTACAGTGTCTGCATGTGGGCTTCCTGGAGAAGTGGGGTCTCTTCCAGCAAATGCAGGGTGGAGGCTTTCTTGATTTGGAGCCCAAGTTGGGGCATTAGGTCCTCTGCAGACACCTGTCAGCTCCCACCCACTCGTCTGTCACCGGCCTCATCTCCCCACACCCCGTGGGCTTGGGCCTGGCTCCCAGCAGGATCACTTGCAAAATTCACACCAGGAGAGGAAGCAAAGCCAAATCCATGGTGAATCATAATGTAGCTGTATTTTCATGATGAATGTGGATAAACAAGGGCCCTCCACCTGATTATTTCATCTGCAAAATGCAGGAACTACAGTATCACAGCTGCTGTTGGGTACGGACTTATTATTTGCTCTCTGTTTAAAGCCCGCCCAGCCTTCCCGACCTAGCTGGAGACGTCCCCTTGAAGACTTGGTGCCCTGGGAGGCGTACTGGCTTTGTACTGACTTTTGGATTCCTGCCTTTTTAGGTCATGTCAGAAGATGTGAATTCAAGTATCAAGACCTTTTTTTGTCCCAATGAGACCTACAATGACATGGCCACACTCTTCTTCAATCCCCAGGAGTCTGCCATCCTTCAGCTCTTCCACCAGGATGGTGAGTGGCTGTGTACCCCCTTGTTCCTGGGCAATTTGTTTGTCCTGCAGGGAACAAGTGATCAGTCCTCTGCCCCTTGCGTTGGCCCTCAGACACAGCCAGGCTTGCCATTGATTCTGAGCGAGAACAGGACTTTTCCTTTGTAATACCAACCCAGACAAGATGAGTGTTTCTGCCTCCAGTGTTGGAGTTGAACCGGTTCGGGTACGGGACCTGGCAGGCGCCGAGGGGGTCTGGCGGGCTTTGGCAGGCATCTGGTAGTGGGAGTCAGGTCGGTCCTTGCCTTGCAGGTACTTTCAGCCCCATCACGTTGGCCTTGTTCTTCGTCCTGTATTTCCTGCTTGCATGCTGGACGTACGGCACTTCCGTTCCAAGTGGCCTTTTTGTGCCCTCTCTGCTGTGTGGAGCTGCTTTTGGACGTTTAGTGGCCAATGTCCTCAAAAGGTACCGTGTAGGTGTGTGTGTGCCTGAGCATATGCACGTGTACACTCGCACAAGCATGCGGACCATAGCTCCCCTCCCCCTTTTTCTCCCCCTACCCCCCCAAGCAGGATTCTCAGCCATGTTCTTGACTTTCTTCTCCACAGCTACATTGGATTGGGCCATATCTACTCAGGGACCTTTGCCCTGATTGGCGCCGCCGCATTCTTGGGTGGGGTAGTCCGTATGACTATCAGTCTCACTGTCATCCTGATTGAATCTACCAATGAGATTACTTATGGGCTTCCCATTATGATCACGCTGATGGTGAGTACACCCCTTCTAGGCCTGTTGCAGGTTTAGGGCCAAGTTCAGCCCCAACAGCCTCTTTTCAAGTCTTGGCTTCGTGTTTCAGGTGGCCAAGTGGACCGGGGACTTTTTCAGTAAGGGCATTTATGATATCCACGTGGGCCTGCGCGGAGTGCCTCTTCTGGAATGGGAGACAGAGGTGGAGATGGACAAGTGAGGCCGTGACTCCTCTTTCTGCCCTGGTTTCAGCATTTATAAACCCCTAGGGCCTAGGAGTGTTTGTGTCAAGGTAGAAATGGGCATTAAGATTCGTGGGTTGGAATAAAGTGAAACAGTAGGTAACAACAGGCAGGTCATTCAAACAGCAGCACGTCTGTTCTGAGCCCCTTGGGGGGTGTTGAGCCCTGGGTGTGGTGGGAGCTGGGGTGGGGCAGAGGCCAAAGGGTGGAGCTGAGGTGGGTGGGGCCGCCTCATGGTGTCGCCGGCTCCTGTGGTGCTCTGGTGGGATGTGAAGTGAGGTCTCTGCGTGAAGTCTGTTTTACGATTGACCGTTTAAGGGTCTCCAAAACCGTGTGAGTGAGAACTAGCCTGCCTCACGCGTGCCTGGCCAAGTGTCACACTGCCGGCAGTGATCATTCTGAACATTATCACCAATTACCCATCAACCCACGAAGCTTGGGCCTCCTGTGTCTAGAGGGAAACTTCTATAAAGGGGTAGATAGTAGATATTTTCAGCTTTGTAGGCCATGTGGTCTCTGTCACAGCTGTTCGGCTCTGCCACTGTAGAACCGAAGCAGCATAGACATCTGTAAGTAAGCGAGTTTGGCCGGATTTGCCCTGTGGGCCGCTTGGCCTAAAGGAGCACCCAGACACATTTTATACATTCCAGTTGTATAATTAATCAATGGTGACATGTGGAATGTGCCATGGAGTGCCAAGGAGAGGGTGGCCAATCCCCTGGGCAGGCAGACGGGGTTTGTAGCGAGGGGACATTTTCTTTGGAGCCAAGGAATGAGTAAAGGCCCACCCGTTTGGCAAAGGGCGTTCAGGCATGGGGAGGGGCATGTGCCAAAGGGATGGAAGTACAAAGGAATGCCTGTGTTCGAGGCACCACCAGAGAGGGGACCCCAAGCAGTCTGGGCAGGCAGGGGTACCTGCACAGCCCCATTCTGGCTTGCTCCTGGGGTGCGTGGGCTCTGTCATGAGGACGGACCGTTCCCTCCCTCCCTCCCCAGACTGAGAGCCAGTGACATCATGGAGCCCAACCTGACCTACGTCTACCCGCACACGCGCATCCAGTCACTGGTCAGCATCCTACGCACCACGGTCCACCACGCCTTCCCTGTGGTCACCGAGAACCGGGGCAACGAGAAGGAGTTCATGAAGGGCAACCAGCTCATCAGTAACAACATCAAATTCAAGGTAAAGAACACAGCCCAGGAGGAAGGGGGGGGCAGGAGTGACAGGTAGTCTATTGACGCTTGTGCTCATCCAGGTGGGGCAGCGGGGTTGGCTCCTCAGGAACACCAATGCTCTTCCTTATGTGGTACAGAGGGTGTAGACGCGACAGCAGGCGTGGGCTTTGCCAGGCCATCAGGACGTGTGTCCTTCCCTGCCCTGGGAAGCACGCAGGCAGGTTTGCTTCTAATCAGCAGTGCTTAGTAGTCATAATTGACTGCGTGCACGTTGTATCGGGAGGGCTCCAGAGTTGCCAATGACAGAAACGACTTTGGCCTGCTTAAGAAAGGAGACTGAGTCAGCTGGCAGCTCCAGGACTGCCAGGAAAGCTGAGGAGCCCGAGGTGGCGTGCTCCAGGCACGCAGGTGGCCAGCGGACACGCGTTAGGTACCAGGCTTCAGCCAGCCACTCTGTTCTTGGGTTGCTCCCAACTTGAAATCCAGGCGGAGGGAGAGTCCCATTGCCTCAGGTGCCCACCCCTTGGCTTTGGAGGCTTAGGGTTTCATAGATTGACAGTCCCCCCCAAGACCTGATGTAGGGAAGAAGTTGTTCCCCTCTGGAGAAGTGAGGAGCTGTTCCCAAATCAAAGGAGTAGGGATGCTGGGCCGGCAAACTACGGGAGTAATGCAGGCCCTGGTGCTCCGAGGCTCCTTTCAGTCTCAGGCCCCTGAGCCCCTGCGGTGGTGCCATGTTCAGCACGTGCTTTTGACCTTCACTGTCACCCAAATCCTCAAGCTCAGTAGATGCCCTGTTGGGTGCCTGTGGCAACTGTCCATCGCCTCCCTGGGGGAAAACCTCTGTCCTCACCACCCCCTCCCCATCCTCAGAAGTCCAGCATCCTCACCCGAGCCGGCGAGCAGCGCCGACGGAGCCAGTCCATGAAGTCCTACCCGTCCAGCGAGCTGCGGAACATGTGTGATGAGCACATAGCCTCCGAGGAGCCCGCCGAGAAGGAGGACCTCCTGCAGCAGATGCTCGAGCGAAGGTGAGCAGACGCTGCCCTGCCTTCTGCTTGGATGTTGTGAGGTGGCTCCTGAGTTTCTTGGGGATCAGGTGGGTCGGGGCTGTGGGTAGGACACGGTCCTGCTGAGGGTAGACTAGGCAGTGTCTGGTTTTTATATAACAGATACACTCCCTACCCCAACCTATACCCTGACCAGTCCCCAAGTGAAGACTGGACCATGGAAGAACGCTTCCGCCCTCTGACCTTCCACGGCCTGATCCTCCGGTCGCAGCTTGTCACCCTGCTCGTCCGAGGAGTTTGTTATTCTGAAAGTCAGTCGGTAAGTCTCTCTCGTCCACACCAGGGTTCTGGAAGGCACGGGTGGTAGGAGCACAGCTCCTGTGCTTCTGGGGAGACCAGTGCTTTGAGAGTCTGCGTGCCAGCGGCTGGCATCGAGTGGTATACGCAGCCCCACAGTGCCCTCTGCTGCAGTGTCTGTGTGCTTAGTGAGCCAGTGTGCTCAGCAGGGGCAGGGCAGATTGTCCCCCACCATTCTCCACTGAGTCCTGTGCCAGTTGTCAAGTGTCCTGGCATGTAGGCTTTTATTATAGTTTCTACTCTTTATTTCTGGCATCAATGAACTTCCCTTAGGTATGTTATCAAAAGAAATACTATTCTTCCCATTAATTCCCCTGTAGTTTTCTTTTTTCTCTTACGTTTATTTTTTGTAGAGATAAGCAGGCGTCAGGAGGTGTGTTGTTCAAAGTGGCCTCTTAACCCCACATACTTAACTGCTTTAGCTGGAGCTTGAAAAAGTTGCCTAGAGACCTGGTTTCCTAATTGACTCTCCCAGTTCGTGTCTTGCCCAAGCCTGAGGTCACTGGTGGTCCCGCTGGCCCGTGGAAGAGCCATTAACACGGGGCGGGATGGAAAAGGCCACGAGCAGAGCAGCCAGGGCTTGGGGTGTGTCTGTGGTGAGGACCAGTGTGGTTGCAAGTGGGGTCGGGGTGATGTGCGGAGCACCCCAGACGAGGAGGTTGGAGGAGCGGAGGGAGCCAGATTACGGAGGCCTGGTTTGAACACAGAATCCTGAGGGCCCTGGGAGGTGGTGGGTGGAGAATGCCATGTGCAGAGTGGAGTTCAGGGGAGAAAGATGGGGGCAGAGCGGGGACCAGTCCTGGTGGCGGCTGAGTGCAGCCTGAGAGCCAGTGGCAGCGGCCCAGGTGCCCGGTGATTGTCAGCAGCAGCAAGAGCTGAGGGAAAATCAGAAGACAGAAAACGCAGGACTAGCAGGAAGCTGCTGTGGGCGCTTCCTGTGGCTGCTGCAGGCGGCTGCCAGCAGCTTGGCGGTGTCAAGTCCGGAAATGTGTTCTTTCATAGTTCTCAGGCCAGAGTACAAAATGCGGGTGTCGGCAAGACCTCGCGTTCTCCGGAGCTGCAGGGGAGGATCGTCCCTGGCCTTCCTAGTTTGTGGTGGCCGCCATCAGTCCTCAGGCTCCCTGACTGTAGGCCCATCGCTCCAGTCTCTGCCTCTGTCATCACGTTCTTGTCCCTGTGTGTCTTCCCTTTTTGTAAGGGCTCCAGTCATCAGACTTAGGCCCACCCTGATTCAGTATGACTTCATCTTGATCACATCTGCAAAGATTCTATTTCCGAATAAGCCCACATGTGCAGGTACCAGGCATTAGGACTCAGACATATCTTTTGGGGGATACAAATCAACCCACAGCAGCTCTTGGTTAGCACTTCTGTCCCTTAAACTTCAGAATAACCAGTGTCTATTTTACAGATGAAGAAAGGGACATTCAGAGAGATTAGGGACTTCCCAGAGTGGCGCAGCTAGGACTTGGCTGGGAACCAGCTTTGCATTGTGCTGTCTCTCCAGAGCACCCCGCTGACCCCTGTGCTGCACTGCCTCCCTCTGGTGGGCCGTGGCTGGGCAGATACAGTAATAAGGAGGGAGGCGGCTCTGTGTGTGGCCCCGACATGCTATGCTGGGTGTGAGGACAGTGTCTTGGTTGGATTGCAGAGTGCCAGCCAGCCGCGCCTCTCCTACGCCGAGATGGCCGAGGATTACCCGCGGTACCCTGACATCCACGACCTGGACCTGACGCTGCTGAACCCGCGGATGATTGTGGTAAGAAGGGCTGTGCCCTTGGGGCAGGACTGCAGGAGGAGGCCGCCAGTTGGTCCTGCCCGGACTGCTGCTCCTCTGTGCTGTTGGCGTCCCTCCCTGGCAGGGGCAAAACTGCCTGCTGGTAACGTGTTGTCCTTCCTCCGCAGGACGTCACTCCGTACATGAACCCTTCATCCTTCACTGTTTCCCCTAACACCCATGTGTCCCAAGTTTTCAACCTGTTCAGAACAATGGGCTTGCGGCACTTGCCCGTGGTGAACGCCGTGGGGGAGGTGAGTCTGAGTTCCAGCTGGAGGAAGGAGAAACCTGTGCCTGGGGCTACGCCTGCGTCGGTTGCCCCTCTAGCTAGCCTGTTGCCCTTCCACCCACCTTCTGGAAAGGCCCCTCTAGCCTCAGCACTGCTTGTAAGTCAGGCCTCCTCAACCCGAAGGAAACACCAGAATCCCGCAGGGAGATTCCTCAGACTGACACCTCCTCTGCAGCTCTCCCACCAGGAGTGAAGGGGACAGTGGTGGGTGGGCTCTGGTGTGGTTTCCACACCTTTACACCTTTGCCCCTTTGTGTCCTGCGCGTCTTATGTGCTATCTCCTGCTTGGCCAGCAGATGTCGCCAGCGTCCCAGTGACCTGTCTTTTGAGCCCAGAAAAGCTTGGTGGAGTCTCCCTACCCTCAAATGCTCCTTTCCTCTTCACCCTTGGCCCACGGGCACCTCCTTGAGGAGGGGTCAGTTATGGACGTGTGTAACATTAAAAGAGAATTTCAAGAAAAATACTAGAAAGTTTTAAAAGATACAACATCTAGTAATGCTGCAGACTTTCCCATTTTTTCTTCTTAGAATTCCGTTTTTTCTTATTACAAGAATACTGTTTGTAGAAAAATAAGAAAATACAGATAAGCAAAAAACAAATACCAAACCCTTTTCTTAACTCTACAGAGGTAGCTGTGTCAACTCCTTAAGTTATATGCTTTGTACCTAGAAATAGAGATCTTTATATATTAACTTCCAATGAAAATGTTATTTTACAGTTGGTTCCCTTGGCAACCAGCTCCGTCCTTGGGGCTTCCTGAAAGTTACATCATTAACATAAACTGGGGTGTGGTTGAAAGGGGCTCCTTATGAATTTTGGAGCCGAATTTGTCCATTGGCCTCCAGTTGGCAAGCCCCCGTTACCTGTTTACCTCCTTCCCTGCTGGAGGCTAGGTAGCCTTTGCAATGAGTGGGCTGGTCGCTTCAGGTCTGTCCCAGCATGGCAGAGCGCCGAGCTCTGCCCACGTGCGCTCTCGCCCCAGGGGGTTTTACTCTGCCAGTGACTTGGGTTCACTCTCCTTGTCCTAGATCGTTGGGATCATCACACGACACAACCTGACGTACGAATTTCTGCAGGCCCGACTGCGGCAACACTACCAGACCATCTGACTGGCCAGTGCGCGCTCCCTGCCACGTGCCGGCCTGCCCACTGGGGAGGCAGCTCTCCCCTGCTCCACCACCACGGCTGGCTGGGGCGGTTCCAGGGCACGGAGCATCCCCAGTCACCCACTTGCTTGGAAAGCCTACAGTCATGCAACACTGCTGGTCAGAGATCCTAGGGATGGTATTGAACCACCAGAGTTGGCACTTACTTGTGTGACTTCCTCAGCAAGTATCCTCCTGTTCCCTGCTCCCTGCATTCTGCCATCCAGTGCTGGCACAGGTCCCTCCAGCCAGAGGGTGCCAGGACCAGAGCAGGACGTCAGGCCTCCCCTGCTGGAGATGACACCCAGAGCAGTTGTCCGGCTCCCTCTCCTCTGCTTTCCTAGGGAACCCAGCTGTGGCCTTAAACCGTAATGGGAGGGACTCTGGCTAAGGCAAACACTGGGAAGGAATGCCAGTTGCAAAATGCAGTGAATCACTAAATTTAGGAGTTGGACATCAAGGAAAAGATGCAGGTTTCAGGGAGGCCTTCCTTTGTTGGGACTCTTAACTCGACATCAGCAGCAGTTCATTTTAAGGACCCTTTCTGCTTCCTGGGCGTGAGCCGGGGTCTGGTCTCAGCCCTGTGGTTTCAGTCTTCTCAAAACCACTTGCCTCCAGAAGCACAAAGCACTAAAGTCCTACAAATAGTCTCTGAAAGATAAATCCCATCTGCCCTGAGTTTTCACATTTCTAGCTTTCTCTCCATTTCCAAATTACTCATGTTTCCTGGTGACATGTTTTTGTCCCTGGTTGTTTTCATCTCCAGTGAATTACTAGTAAGTTTGTACTCCCAGTGTCCTGGTAAAGCAGCCACAGCCCAGAGGATCTTGATGTCACCCCTGCCTCCCAAGTTAACTAAAGAAGGGCACCACTACGTAAAACCACTTCATTTTATTTATAAGATGGGAAGGAGTGTATCCTGAGCCACTAAATGGTACATGATAGGGCTTGACAAGCCGGTGTTAGGATAGGGCAGGTGGTTTACTCGCCCCCCGCCCTTGACAGAATCTCGCTGCCCTGCCGCCAGCCATCCCCGGCCAGCGGAGGGGCTCAGGAATGGGAACTTGAGGCGGGTCTGCTGTGCTGCCCTGGGGCTGGGGTGAGAGGGTGCCTTCCTGAATGTGCCCCCTGCAGTTCTAGCATTAAATACTGGGAGCCTGCCCCTGTCTGTCCATGTCTTTGTGCCTCTCCGGGCAGGCTGGTCCTCTCAGCAGGCGCCCAGTGTGAACACGGGAGCATCAGGCACTTGCCCTTGTTTTCTTCTGCCCTGTGACAAATGTCCTTTGGGACTCCAGATGGCATTTACTTGTTTTTAGTTTTTTGGGTTTTTCTTACATCGTGGAAGTCGTCTGAGGGCGTCGGTGCCTGGCCCTGGCAGCACTCTTCCCCTCTCACCCCTTGCTGACTTCCTGTCCCAGGACTGCCTTTCAGCCCCCGGAGGGGCTGTCAGTCCCAGTTTTGCCAGCTTAGGTCTTGGGTTCTGCCCCTTCCCACCCTTTTCTTCCCATTTTCTTATCTCTCTGACCCAAAGTACTCTGACTTCTAAATTTCTCAGCTGCTTTGGATGCACTTGACTTGTGAATTGTGGGCAAAACTCCCACTAAATAGTTTGGGAACTCACAAGGACCGGAAAGGCAAGCCCTTCTAAATGTGACAGCTCACTGCCGCTTTATTTCAAGGCAGCCATTGGAGCTGGACTACATTATTTCTTTTATTAAGAGGGATGCCAGTTACCCAAGTCCTGAGGATGGCGTGACGGCCCATCACAGGACTTCTGTCCCCTCTTCCCATCCCTCACTGAATATGGCAGAACCCTAAGTCCTGCAGGAGCTTTTCTGGCCTCCCGGGGTCTAGGTCACCAGCCACTTGTCTCAGTGCCACCCTCGAGGAATGTGGCTGGAATTTATCCCTCATGCATATCGTGTTGCATTTAAGTCACCAGATATTTTGCTCCCAGCAGTGTGGCCCAGAGATACACTAGAATGCAAATGCCTCCCTCCCCGTGAACTGACCGGATGGTCCCCACAGAGGACCCAGATCCCTCTGGCAAGGCCCGTTCTTTCCCGTCCTCTGTCCGCCCTTGCCAAGCCCAGAGAACCGCTGCTCCACCTGGAACCGGGAGCCTGGCTCCTTTGCTTACTAATCGTTAGAGACGCACATTTTCAACAGCTCACCTATTACCAGCCCCATCGCCTCCGAGTGACATGGGACCTCAAGAAACAAAAATCCACAAAGGGGGCTTTGGGACTGGCTAGAGCTGGTTTTCTGTTTCACCTCAGCCTAGTGTTTTGCTAGGTTCCCCAAGGAAGGTGACTGGGGGGCAGGGAGCAAAAGCCCCTCCTGACTGGGAACCTTTGCCTTCTGGGGGATGATTTGCTCATAGCCTTGCTTAACTAATGGTTCCTGGCTGGAGAGGACGCTCGCTTTACCCGGCCTACCATATGTTTCCGATGCAGAGTTGAGCACTGACACCGCCCTCGGAGACAAGGGAGGCCAGAAGCGCCCTCCTGGGCCCGCAGTATTATGTGCAGCGTTGCCCCACCGCTTTGTGCACCTGGGTCATTTCAACAGTAGCAGCTTTCTGTGTTCTGTTTGCACTGTTAACAGTAATGTGAGCTAATTCCAGTGTGTATATAAATTGTATTTTTTTTAATTTGTAAAATTCTATTTTTATTTGATCTTTTGGAACTTGGAAGTTCCTCATTGTAACCATAACATGTCAGAATAAAATGTCTTTCTCTGTCTCGTTTAGCCCTTTGTCTCCATGGCACTCTTCTGAGTGACGCTGGTTTTTATTTTATACCTTCTCTATCTCTAATAGGTAACAGTTGCAAAGCTAGAAGGTAGTTGTGTAGTCTCAGATCTCCTTAAGTAGCTCTCCCAGCAAGACTCTTCGTTCATAGGCAGCGACTTAACTACCTTAGTAACAAGAACAAATTTAGCCCTTGGTGTTAGCAAAAATCAGAAAGTCACCACTCCTGTTTCTCCCTTCAAATGAACAGTTAGTTCTTGTTTACTGAGCCTTCCTATAAAAACCTACCTGTTCCTTTCAGCTGCTGAATGTTTCCTATGACAATGGGTGGAGAATCCACTTGTATTCCTAACAATGTTGTGCTTAGGAATTTGCCCCAGGAACAGATTCTCCTGCTGTCCAACAGCAGAAACAAAATGGAAGCTGAGCCTGTAGTGTTGAGACCTGCTGGCTAGCCTGTCAATTCCCCTCTGTCATGCTTTCCGTTCACTTTTTGTTTTGCAAGAAATGTGGCTTGCATAGTCTAACTGACCTGCTTCAGTTTGCCTTTCCACCCCCAGTAGAAATGGCTTCAGTCAATTCAGGCCATTCCACCTACCCCCCCATTTCCAGATTTTCTACGCAGGTGGCCCTTTCAGTCAATTGCACTCGGGGAGAGCCCACTGTGTCAGTGACCCCTGTGAGGGTGCCCAGCTCACCATGCTTCCCCTCCTGGCAGTTCCCACGCACGCATGCCAGGCCTCAGGAGCCAGGTGTAGACGGATCCTTCTGGGTCTCTACCCTTGTCCCTGCTAGCCCTCCTCTGTTTCTTGGTTTTCTGCCCCTCTGTGTTTGAAGTCCACATAAGGAACTTTTTTATTGGGAAGTTCTTTCCCCACCTCCACTCCCTAACCACCAATTCATTTCTGGCTTCTCCTTCCCTCTACAAAGAGCAAATGGCTACTTTCCATTTTTCCCAGTTTCTGTGCAAGACCAAGACAATTTAACTAGCATTTTATAGAGCATCAATGGTGCCCTGTGCCACAGGGGATGCTGAGTGGGCATTTCCCCTCAGGAGCTTACAGTCCAGGGACACAGGCACAATTGTATACCAGGCCACATTGTGTTGCATTATATAGTTACATGCAAAATGCTCCAGTGAGGAGCTCAATTTGTACTGGGCGCGTGGTATCAAGGAAGAAGTGGTGTTCTTGGGGAGCCTTGAGGAATATGTAGAATGTTCTCAGGAGCATTAGATGAAGGATGTCTGGAGGAAGGACTGGCATGAATGGGGACATGGAGAAGCAAATGTGTGAGTGGAGAGAGTCTGGTATGCAGAGTGAGGTGTGTGGGGTGGGAAAACAGCACCACTCCCGGGTGTAGGTGAACTTAGTGTTGGTATTCTCTGCTTAGGACAACACCCTTTTCAGAAGTAGATACTAAGAAACTGCATCTTTTCCAGTGGCTTCAACCTTAATAAAATCTATAAGCCCAGGCACCTTGGGTCTGAATTACAGAAAGCCCATGACTATTTTTTAATCATGTTAGTACCCGAAAGACACATAAACCTGCAGTTTGTTGGCATAGCAAACATTTCTTCTTTGCTCAGCTTTTAAACCCAAATACTCTGCCTACTCATCTTAAAACTAAAAGTGCAATCATTCAGTTACATTACAAGTGGATCAGAGGAAACGTAGTGTCCTTGTTTATGAATGGGCCTCTAAAAAATAACCAAAAGTTACTGGGTGTACAAAAATCGTCTATTGAGTGTAAGCTACCCTAGATGTAACCAGGGGAAAAAACCCAGATCTGTGTAAGCTTTCAGTAAATAAGAGCCCTAAACATAAGCAAATCCAAAAAAATAAATGCCCTTTCAGTCTGCAGGGGATTTTTCAGGATGCATGATGAGGCTGCAGTGAGAACCAGCAGGTTGATAACTACCTTGAGCCCCAACCCCAGAAAAAAAAAAGAGGAAGGAAGGAGGAAAAATCTGTGCGAACCCACAGACTGTCCAACACCCAGAGTCGCCCTGTTGTAACCTGGACTCTGGGCGGGAATGATGCGTCCATGTAGGTCCATCCATTGTAACAAAGGTCCCCCTCAGTTGAGGGGTGTTAATATGGGATATCTATGGGAACTCTATTCCTTCTTAATTTTGCTGTGCTCCAAAAAATAAATTTTATTACTTTTTAAAATGAAGAAGAAAGAAACTGAGCACTTCTTTTCTCTGACTAAAGGTAAAATGAGTATCAGACTGAATTCTCTTCCCTGGGAAAAGAAAGAAATCACGCCAACCCAAGCCTTCAGCTTCTGTCCATGGTGCTGACCTTTATTCACTTTCAAACCACTTCAATAACAGGTGAGGGTCTACCTAAAATGTAATACATGGGATGGGAGAGGTGGGGAAGCCACAATTAAACCACTTTATCTACATGTAGCAATAAATGTGAGAAATGTTGACAGGAGGCTGCAGCAGCTTGAATAGGGTGCTCGTCCCAGTTCGGTTTGACGGCAATGAGATGGCACAAAGTTGAGTGAGAAACTCCAGGACATGAGGGTCTCTTGAAGTTTGCCCAGGACCTGGCCTGACTTTTCCTCCCTCGCCATTATCTTCGGTACTACAAAGAGAACAGAGACATGTTGGGTTGGTGACGTGGCTCTACTGAAAAAGTCAACTTTTCACAGGGCTCTGCTCACTTCCCCCCAGCCCCCACTCCAGCTTGACAACTGCTCTGAGTTTCCTAAACTGGCACACAAGCTGCTCATCAGAAGTTTGTAAGGTCAACCCCAGTTGATTTCATCGCGTCCTTTGGAATCTGACAGTTCTGGGGAGGAACATGAACTACCAATGAGCAGTTTGAAGGCAACTCAGCCCCATGAACATTTTAAGTTCCCAGTGCTGTGGCAGTAATACATTTTTTCTTAGCATTTTCTCAACAGCCTGTAGCTGAAGATGATGTCACTGTCCTGAGACTCATGGGGCACCCACCTAGTTGGGACAAAGATTTCAAACGGAGTAAGCTTCTAGGCTGGTGCCTTTCCTGCAGAAGGCGTCCCCTGGTGTTATTCTTTAAGGAGGTTTGAGCCTCAGTAAAACCAGAACTTCCTTTCTCTCCATCCAGTTTCCATCCCCAGCTCCTCTTACCCGGAAGCTGTTGCAACCCAGTCCACTCTGGGCTCCAATCCTGTCCATCCTGCCCCCGAAGCAGCTGGACCTCCGCAGGCTCCGAGGGGCAGCAAGCAGTGCCCTCAGCTTGTTTTTTAGGAGGGCCGACCTATCAGAGGAGTCCCAGGGGCCCCGGCCGAGGGCACCCGCATCTCTCTGTGCTGGGTTGACCTCCCCAGTCCAGGGAGGCACCTCAGGGAGGGGGCTCAGAGCTGGCCCAGCCTCCTCATTCTGCTCACTCAGTACTTGTTGGGGAACAAGCTCATCTTCTAAAGGCATCTTGTCCTCCAAGTGGTCCAGCAAATTCTTTACAAAGGAAAACACGGGAGGAGAGGGACGTCTCAATGACTAGCACAGAGTCACAAAGCCCCCTGGTCCCAGATGGCGGCCCCTTTCCTGGCCCTACCTTGAAATCCATCAGGTCTGCGTTGGACACCGAGCTGTACACAGGATTAGCCCCAGTTTGCCCTGGGAGCTGACAGGCCAGAAAGAGGAGCAAGCCCATCGTGGCAGCGGAGAAGGAGCCCATGCTGGCGTCAGTCGGGGAGGAGCAATCTGGCGCTTTTTGCCTTTTTTCACTCCTCTCTGGTTTCCTCCTCTTGGCCTTTGTCCGCCTCTGTCTCCCAGCTGCCCTGCGCCTCCTCTTTTTATAACCCCCCAGCTCTCCAAGAGCGCAAGAGCGATGGAACCCTCCCCATTCTGTCACTTGCAGTGATAAAGCAGCTGAATGAGGAGCCGGCCCAAGATGCCCTTTTAAAGTTATCCGTGCGGCGGAGCCTGTCACAGCCCCTCTGCCTTGAGCGGCTCCAACAGCCCCGGACCCTCCGCTGGAAGAGCCACATTCTTGTTGATTCGCCTCAAGAGGCTCCCACTTCAAAGGTGTGAGAAGAGCAAACAAGAGTCCTTGGTTATCTCACAGCGATGCCTCCGGCTTCTTTCTCCTCTGCGGGGGACCCACGCTGGGAAGCAGAGGGCGACTGTTGGCCAGCGCCCAGCATCCCCGGTTGGCTTGCCGTGCAGCTGTCAGGGGCTCCAAATAAGGGCGGGAGAGGAGGAAATGGCAGGCAGCCGGCAGCACGGGGCAAATTAGTCCAGATGCTCGAGCTGGCCTCACACCTGACCGCTCAGCCACCAGGGAGGCCTCCCCTCCCCTCCAGCAGGTCTGCCCTCGCCCTCTGAGGTCACTCCCAGCGTCAGATGAAGAGGGGTTCTTTTTTAGAGCGCTAAGGCAGTCGGGAACCAAATGTGATGGATGTCCCTAGAATTCAGCTCCCCAAATAAATACCACCTTAACGCCCCCGACCTCGGCCCTCTCAAAGATGTCTGGGGAGGTAGGCACGATGGCGTTACCAACATTCTCATTTTGTCACCTCATTGCTTATAGGGGCTCAGACTCTGAGTCTGAAGCTTGTAGTGCCCCCCACCTTTCCCAGGAAAGCCCCCGCAGTGAGTTGGCTGACGGAGTGGGGTGGGGGTCCCGGGGTGTGAACGTGGCATGCACAGTTTCCTTAAAGCCTTTCATGTCCTTCTCCAAAGCCAAGCAAGGGAGGAGCCACCGAGGCCTCTATTTTCCAGGTCCCCAAAAGGAAATAGTAGGCAGCAAGGCTGTCCACATTTCATGTGCGGCTCCATTCACTAAGCACTGAACTCACATTAGCACACTTTCAACTCAGTGTGTCCTGGGGAGAGAACACATTGAATCTGAAAGGGTGAGAGACCTGGATCGTAGCCCGGACAAACCAAGTTGCATGCATCATCGGAGCCTTATTCTCATACGTAAAAACCTGCTCTACCCACCTCCCCAGGGTGTGAGGCTCAAACTAGCTACTAATAAGTGAACACATTTTAAAGCGT